CGACTCTGCTCGGCACCTCAAGTCCAGAAAGGCTGGCACGCTGTCCTCATCTGCAGTTCAGATAGAAATGTCAAGGTGAGACGCACTGATTTCCCCCAAGAAGCAGGACAAAGACACACATTCCCATCAACAGACCTGGGCCCCCATAACAGCTTAGTCGCGATAGTTGCAGTGTCCAGGATGGATGCGACGAGCAGGAGCAAATGAATCTTCTGCACCGGCAGCTCCTCGTCTGGATTGACATCCTGGCCAATGGCAACCAGCCACTCGCCCAAGGCAGCCTTCACCAGTTCGTCGAACTTGGCTTGGGCCTTGGCCAATTGTCGTGTGTCTCGTGCCAAGAACCAGCTACGAAAACAGCAGCTACGCAGCAATCCGCTGAGCCCAGAACATCCTGGAGTGCAGGGAAATTGGCGGCCACCATGAGCAGTTGATCGAGAGCGGCACGAGGCAGGCAAGCGCCCGTGCTTGGGTTCTTTAGAAAGTCGTGCAATCCCTGCAGGTACGTGCTACACGCATTCTCGAGAGCAGCCTGAAGAAGAGCCTGCTTCTCGTCCAAGGCCCTCTGCAGCCCGAGGTCCTACAACAGCCGGAAGCAACTTCTCAGTTCTGTCAGTTCCGTCCCTGCTGTCCTTGCAGTACTTGTCGAGCCAGAGTCCATCCACAAGAAGGGGCTTTAGTCCCTGAAGCTTGCAAACCTGGGCATGGTATTGAACTCTCACTTTGCATCTTCTGACAGAACAAAGGAACAAGGCCAAACAGAAACCTCAAAGCACCAACTTTTCACACAGCTGGCCCAGAAGCATAAATCTGCTTCTGCTCCATGAGCTGGTCAAAGAGCTCCGAGAAGCGGATCCGGTAGTCCACGATTTTCTTGCAGGCTTCTTGCAGCAAGGAGCTGTAATTGTCAGCAAAGCCGGTGTTTTCGACGACCTCGACAGGCAACGACCTCCGGAAAGCACTCAACCTTCCGAAGAGAAACTCCAAGGGAACCATCTGCGAATCGCTCAAGCAGCTCGCTGCCTGCTGGAAAATGCTCGTCGCATCACTGGCTTCGATGAGCTGCGCCCATGCTTCAGAAATCCAAGCAGAAATGTCAGTATCGCCCGGCCACCTGCAAACCTCCTGCCGTGCTTGGCTGATGACACTGAATGCTGAATGGAGATCTGACAGTGCGCATTCTGCATGAGGATCAGCTGCTGTCATGGACAAGCAGCAACCAGAGGCTCGCAAGCCCTTCTCAACGACGCCACTCAGCGACGCCTTGAGATGATCGGAGCAGGCTGTAGCAAGCTCCTCATCTTCCAACAAGCTTCTCTCCAAGAGAAACTCCGCGTCACAAAGCTGCTGGGAGTGCTTCCGCAGGTGTTGCAAGTGCAGAGCAGCCCGAAGCTTCGTCAGAAGGTCTGCTCCCTTCTGGGAATCTCCCACAAGGCAGGCTACGGCTGCAAAGAAGTTGTTGGCGACGCGGCATGCAGTGTCATAAGGCGAGCGAAAATCCACGTGTGCCTCTTTCCACACACTCAACTTCGAAAGTCGCCGAAGGAATTCTTGCACGTCCAGGGGCACAACCCTCTGTTCGACTTCACGGTCGAATTGCTCCTCCACGAGGCGCAGCAGGGAATTCAGCCCCCTCGAGACACCGTCACGCACAGCATCTTCTTGTTGCTGTCCTTCCAACATGACCAATGGTGCTAGACGGCCAACAACCTTGCCGTCCTCCAAGACTTTTTGAGCCTGTGCGATTGTGAAGGGCCTGCTGTCATCAGCAGTTCCATCTTCAATCTTGGTTTGCACTGCATCAGCAACCCAGTCCATGTGCTTGTGCACAAGGGATTGCGCCTGCTGGAGGCCCATGGACAAGTCCGGCAGGTCTGAAATGAAACCAGCGATGCTTTGCAACTCCTTCATGCACTGTTCAAGCTGCTCATAGTCGGATTCCTCGAGGAGCTTTTCCAGCATCAATTGGCGCCGCTTGAACTGTACAGCAAGCATGCCTTCTTGCTCAAGCGTAAGCTTGCACTGAAGTCCCCTCCCGGCATCTGCCAACCACTGATCTCCCTGATCACTCTCCAAAGCCGCCCTGCACTCGTCGGGCGACAACCACTCCGGATGGAAGATTACAGTGCTGCTGCTCTCGTGACTAAGCTCTTTAGCCATGATGCTCAGCACCTGTCTAGCGGAGTCGTGTGCCTCGACATTTTCCAGCAAATCAAGCACGCGGTTGTGAAGCTCTTCCCTGGCCATTTCCCTGCGCTGTTCTACCTCGAGTTCGCGACACAAATCATAGCAAGACAGCTTCTGTACTCGGGTGAATACAAAGCAGAGTGCTTTGCCATCGCTGTCAAGATCCATGAGAGAAGTCGCGACACTACGGCAGATTCCGCGAAGTGTATTGCACTTGTCAGGGCCGTCAAAAAGGTCACAGCGCAACACGAGAACACAGCGCATGCCTGCACAGGTTTCTGCCACCCTTCTGAGCGAGACCGATGTGGCGATGTCAACCTCTGCTCCACGGGTGTCCAAATGGCCGGGTGAATCCAAGTACACGACCCCACTGTCCGGAGCCCAAGCAGTCATTGTTCTCGTGCCAGACCTGCTGCTCGAATGCCCAAGCACGAAACCATCCAGGTCGTTCCCATCTTCAGGTTCATAGACAAGGTGCTTGATCCCTCTCGTGCTCTCATGGAATCTTGGGACAAGCTTTTTGCCGGCACAATGGTAGATCAGTGTTGTCTTTCCAGCACCTGTGCCCCCGACAAATAGCACCACACGCCTCTGCCACACCTGCTTAACAGCAGCTTCCGCCTGTTGAACAAGCTCTGCGAGCTGCCCTAGGTCCAGTACCATAGATCGAGAATCGCTGTGGGCCTCATGTCGTCCTGTGCCCCCCGCACTGCCGAAAGCATGCTGTGAGGCAGGGCTCACAATGGTGCAGGAACCCTGTGATGTGGTTTGCAGACCTGCCATTCCAGAAAGTGGTTGCAGTTTGGCAGGTCGAGGATGAGACTCACCCAGAACTTCTCCGAGCTCAACACATACCGCATCCGCGACTTGATGCAAGGTTTTGCTGCTGACTTCTATGTTCACTGCTGCAGCCGCTTCTTTCAAGAATTGCACTGGTCGAAACACATCACCACCCAAATGATGCTGGATAGCGCGCATTTTTTGTGCCAGTGGTACTGAAGACTCTCCGACCTGCTGCCGACACCTCTCGGCAAAGTCTGCCGTGTCTTCGTGCTCGCCGCTTCTCTCTAGTTCAATTAGTGCACCGAGGTTCCTCAACTTGTCTTCTACGATCAGGTCATCCTGGCAATTGCCGCCTCCGCATACGTCCTCCAGCATGGCGCTCACGCTTTCATGGAGAGCTTGCTTTCCGGAATGGGCGTTAGAAGCCAACAGCTGGTCTACCGCCTGATGAAGGCTAATCTTCTGTCTCTTCACATCCTCACCCAGAACATCCCGACGAGCCGACAGCACTATCTCCTTAAAGCTGCGGCCCCGATCTTGATCTTGTGAGCGCAACGTGGCAACAAGTCTGTCAACCTTCACGTGCAGCAGCTCCATGTCATGACCTGTCCAGGGCGGAAAGCAAGAAATTGAATGGCAAAGGCATACTAGCTGTGCCTACCGCAACTTTAAACTCAAGCAACTAGCTCCAATGTCATTCACATACTTTGCCTTGTGTGGGTATGACGCGGGGCAGGGGTGGGTGTGGGTTGGTAATATCAGCCAGATCGGAAGCACTTGCCCGACAGATTGTCGCTCCTCACACTAGATACTCGATCTCTGAAACCGTGGCATGTTCACTAGCTCGAAAGACCGAAAGGCAAAGGCAAACAAGCCCTGAAACAAGTGTAGGATACTGCTCTTAGGCACCTGGATCGCCAATCTCTGTTATCAGCCGTTCAGCCAGTGCTGGAAGAGGCTCTGCATCATCCACATCCAGGCCAACAGTCTGACAAGCCTTCAATAGCGGTCTGCGTCATCAACACGAGCAAGGGAGAGAGAGAGAGAGAGAGAGAGAGAGAGAGAGATAGAGAGGAGAGAGACAATTAGAATGAGAGAGAAGGATCGTTGGGTTCAGGGATCGCTGTAAGCACGGCAATTTTGGTGAGCTCGTAGTTCTTCGCCTCGAGCAAAGCGGAACGAACGCCGTGATAGCCGCCCATCCCGAGCTCGTTCTTGATGCGTTCCACCTGAACCAAGTGCAGAGAAGGTCAAGGAGCTCGAACCCTGCACATGCTTGCAGAGACTAAAGTGTTACTAAAGTCACCAATTAAAGATCGAGTCCACAGCAGGGGAGCACACCTTCTTCAACAAAGCCATCAGCGACAAACTACGCTTCGCTGATACACCAAAGCTGAGCCTTGAACCAAAAATTGCTTGCCATGCATGGGTTCGGGAGACAGATGAACCCGAACCCTGTGACATGCGTGCCCACGCCCTCCTGTGAAAGTGATAGCATTAATACACAAGCTTAACCTCCGAACGTGAAAATGACTTGGTCGATCAGCGGAACATACGCATACGCGGCTTATGTACCATCTGAGGTAGATGAATACACCACACGCTCCGAGATGGAAGCCCGCGCACATAGTACCACAATGCAGGCGATGCATGAGCAGCTACAGTGACAGCTGTGGGGCATGTGCATCGTCCCTGATTTGAAGCAGCCAGGACCAAACAGGGCACGAAATCATGGAGGCCGGAAGTGGATCCCGAAGGTATCGTCTGCAACGTCCACACTGACAACAGATGCCCTCCTGCCTTGCTCATGATCCATGGCTTGATGCGTTGAATGAAACCTGACCCATAACCTGATTCTGTTGGAGGCTGTGGCAGATGCAGCACCTGACGCTGGGTTCAGTGGATACCCGAAGTCGTGACATAAAGGACGTGCTTGAAGCAACTTCGCTCCTTCCATCTGTCTTGTCATGGAGCGGTTTCTGTGCTTCGCATCTCTACTAAACTCGATAAACTGAACACTTTGTGGGGGCCTCGGCAACAAGCCGTCCAAAGCATCCATTGCATCGCCAGACGAAGGTGCTAGGGGCCCACTGGCCGTAGAGGATGCTGAGCTGATGCCTTTGCTGGACTACGTGGCCGCCAACTGTTCATGTTCTTTCTTGGCCTGTTGCCACAGTTCTGAGGTTCTGAAGTATGGAACCTCAAAACAATCCAACTAAGACTTGATGAGCAGGCTGCGCCGTTTCTTTCACTCACGGGAGGGCCGGTTCAAAGTCAAGCGGCTTTGCGGCAGGCCGCGAAGTCTGAGACTCTGAACTCGAAGCCCTCGATCTCTGAAGCTCTTTACTTGGAGCCACAGTGTCCTAATGAGCGATTACAAAGCTCCCATCTTAGCCGTGGCCGTGGCGTCATCCTAATTTCGGCCTCCATGTAAATCGCATCTGAGGCTCAAAGAGCAGAAAACGGCTGCGAAAAATGTACATGGATGCCGGCGTGCGTGTGCGGGTGGTGTATGTGTGCGCGTCTGCAGGATAACATCGTACGCTGCCTGTGCCAATGTACATCTCAACATACACAAGACCCTATTATGAGCCGGTATACATTGTACCGTTGTATGCTTGTCCATCCATCCATCTATCACTCTATCGATCTATCCATCCACCTATCAATCTGTAAACCGTAACCAATCAACCAACCAATCAATCACTCAGTCAATCAGTCAATCCGCCGACCAGCCAACCAACCGCCAACCAAACAACCAATCGACCAACTCTCCAACCGATCAATCAACCATTCAAGCAACAGTCAAACAAACAAACAAGCCATCAATCAAACAATCAACTAGTCAGTCAGTCAGTCAGTCAGGCCATTCAAACAACCAGATAATTTTCTATCTACCTATCTATCTATTCTAGCGGATTCTTTATTCTTTATTTGCTGTCTATCTAATATGTACACACATCTCAAGTTATTGGCCCAAAAACCCAGGGAGCGTGCTTCCAACCAATCATCATCAATCATTCCTCCTACTGGCGTCCAGTGCTCCTCGAACTTCTGGAAACAGCTACAGTAGATACCCAGGTCCGCCAGATTCGCCCGGGAGTCTTTGCATCTCTGATAACTTCCGCCGCTGCTTCACGCAACGGCGGAATGCTTCACGCAGCGAGAAAATTAACCGTCTATTCGGGTCTTTTTCCCCCCAAGCTTTTCAACTTGCTGTTGGGGAACATCTCTGGAGCCTTCTGTGATGCTTGGGAAGATTGGCCCGGCTGCCTAGAAAAGCCAAGACCAGAAACTACGTAGCTCATCGACGGCCTGCACAAAGGTCGAAGCTCCAAGGATCAGAAGATCGCCTACCAGTAGTCAGTAGCCCCTTACGGTCCTTGAAGCCGAATCCTCACCAAGGCGTGAGAAAGCAGGGTCTTGAGGGTCCAGGCCGATTACTCCAACCGACTCGGCATGCCAGAATTTGCTGCAACTGCAGTGTGGCCAGCTAGTTGCCATGGTGTGATTTCAACATGGCGCGTGCCAACAAGACTTGCGCCTTTATCTCTTCTTGATTTCTTCACCACTGAACCTTACATATGCCAAATTTCTGACAGTTCTGAAATCTCGCTAGGCCCCCGCTAGGCATTTCTGGTGGATCTACAAGGCTTCTAGCTCAGGAGGCGGACGATAGCCGGACGATCCGAGACAATGTGCCTGCTGATGAAGAACATCCTGCCGTGACTTGTCAACCGTATGCAAACTGTCACGTGAAGCTCCCTGCTAAGCCTCGATGCCACAGTGGCAGGGCTGACAAAGTAGCTGGATCTTACACGACATGTGTCGACTGTAATTCAGCTGAAGGTTCCCTCATTACTGGTTTCCTCCAACGATCCTGGGAGTGCGTTCTTCCGACGGTTCGTCGCAAGACGCCTCGAGCCATGGAACTCTCTGTAGGGACGCTAAAAATGCGTGCCCCAACTTAAAAAAGGCTGAACCAGGAATGCAAGGCTTTCGTTGCCGACTTTCTGAGGTTTCGTCTGCTCTCCAGGGATGTTCGGGCTTCGGCTTGAGGGTTTGGAGCGCTACACATTCTGCTACGAGCAGCGGCCAAATTCATCTCTCCTCGCAATACGTTTAAATGGCCGTACTGGCCATGAAACTCAAACCTTGCTTCCTTTGGACATGCAGGACCGATGGTCGCAGCAACTTGTGGCAGCACGGGTATTGCGATCGATGACAGTCACGTTGCTCTGGTCAGTCTTAGAAGTCTTTGGCCAGACAGGCAAACACACACACACGCAAAAACACACACACACACATACATACTCGTGCCCCCACACACACATGCTCGTGTACCCTGTGGCTCGAAACCTGCGAGTCCTAACGTGTCAATCTCGATTCCGTTTCCTGTACCATTCGTAGAAGTTTGATGAGACCTCGATCCGTTCGGCGTACTATCGCCAGAACCAGCTGCTCGTGTGGAAAGCGGCTGAATTAATGACATGCTGGCTTGGAGCATGCTGGACATGTACAGTTGGGATGCCGCAAAGCATACCTCAGTAACGCACCTTCTGGGTTTTGGCCCAAGGCTTGCACAGACTTCTTGCCCAACCATGGCGAAGGCTGTTTTAAGAAGGCAAGGTTGCAGCCAAAGAGCACCCTGAAGGCAAGGTGCCGTGTGTGTCGCACCTTCGACACTGTGCATCCAGATGGCTCTGGAGAGGTTACGTTCCGATCGGCTCCAGCCTACCGGCCTTGACTACCGTACTCACAAGAAACCAACTCTCTCGATGTAGCCTAGCTCCACTTTTTACCATAATCTCACGGTAGAGGTCGCACCGCTATGGTAGCCACAGGCTGCCTGCGCTTCGGCAATTGCTGGGCACAGGTCTCTTTCTCTTCGTCGACTTCGGCAGCGCTCTTGATTGGTACACCCTGCAAGACCTGCTGTAGTTTACAGTAGAATAGTAACAAGGAATCCCCAAAGTAGTATTAGAGGATCCTCCACAGTGTTGATCTTCCAAGCAGGCACATGCAGACTGCACCTTCGAAGTTACTTGAAACTAAGCGACCGCCGGCTGTACCCTCGCGAGAAGCCCGCTCTGGTGCGCTGAATACTTTAGAATTTTGCTGCTTGGCTTGACTAGCCGCTCTACAACTCCAACAGGCAATCAAACACAACATGCCACGCCCTGAACATCCTCATCGTCTTGCAAGATGAAGACTAACCATGTCTTATCCTCACACGGTTTTCGGCTCTTGAACTGCATGCGCGCATCGCAGAATCAGCTGCATCGCGAACTATGGTACATGAAGACCTGTGCTCAAAGGCGCCCAGCTCCAATTTAGCGCGTCGGCCTCGCCAATGGCCGTCAGTAGAGGCTCTTGGTGACAAGTCGTAGGCGCAACAGCAATCGTAGACATAGTCAAGGATGCACTCATCATGCAGGTTTTCTGGTTGAAGACCGCAGGTCTTGGACTCTACCTCATGCCACAGTTTCAGCGGCAATGTTGGTCTTGGGATCCCTTAAAGCTGCACCTTGCCTCCAACGGCATTGCTCTTACAAAGGAAGCCCGAACCCGGACAACCCGAAAGCGGCAGGCCTAAGCATCGCTGCCCTCCGAGTAAGTGCAAATAAATGCGGCCAAAGCCTGGTCCAGAGTCACCTCGGAGGCACGAACACCGAGAATAACGAAACGAACTCTCTGCTTTTCAGAAGCACCTAGCCAGAATGCCAATTGCTGTCGGTCTGAATTTTCCGACTAAGTCCAAGCGAATTCCGCATTCACACGGCCTTGTTCGCTGAAACAGAAAGAATAGGTACATCCCAGGATGCTGCACCTGTCACCGTTGACCATATGCAACCAATACAGCTGGCTTTCAACTTCACTTCTGAAGACCTGCAAGTATCTCCAAGGTGCCATGAGATCGATGACTGACGTAAGGGTGCCAAACCTGGATCAAGCTGGCAACGTTCCGAAGCTGAGAGGAAGAATGCACATGTTATGAAGCATGGCTGCATAGGAACTCACGAGCACTCTTGATCTAGAACTCACCCAGCGGAAAGCGAAATCTCATGTAAGCATTGTTGTCCATGCAAAGCCTAAGTTGTGTGCAAAGGGATCAGGGTTTGGGGGATACTATATTATGCCTCCATGTCCTGAGGCTCATGAACCATAGCCTAAGAATCTCTCGTGATCCCACCCCTGTTTGGAGCCTTCGGGCTGGAAACTTAGTTCAACTTAGCACCCGGCCACTTCGCGACGTCGTACTCCTCGCGCTCCCGGTCTCGGTTTGCTAAAGCCTCGTACCAGGATCCGAGGCAAGGCTTTCTTGCACAAACTCTGTGCTATTACGTAGACTTTGTATTACCACACATGTGGTTACATGGACATTCAGTAAAGGAATATGCGAGCATCTTTCTCTGTCTGTTTATGTTATATGCTTCGCCTGAAGGCTTCATAACGGCGGCCATGGCCTGTGCTGGGATGTCTTGGCTGCGCACCTCGTGCATCACCTCTAACGGCGTGCTCCGGGCGAAGCATCCCATCAGTTGGAACCTGGGAGTCGTAGCTTAAAGCTACGATTTCAATGTCTGGATTTTCCAGTCATCACCTAACCTCCAGTGTGGATTCGATCTACTGTAGCTGATGGTAAAGGCTGCTCTCACACTTCAGCTCTCGATTCGGCATCAACTGCTGGCTGAAAGACGCATCGACGACAACTTCGCGCACCACGGTGCAACACTGATGAAACTCAAGCTGCGCAGGTCGCTGGAGCTAGGCTCCCCTGCTCCATCTGTGATACTGAGCGCAGCATCTTGTGCAGCCTAGGGCTGGGGAGGTCTTCAGCCTCATATCGGGAAAGGGGGCGGGAGGCGGGAGCTGTCAGATTGAAACGCTGGAAATGAGCCCCAAACCAAGCCGAGAACAACACTGCATACCTTCTCACGCTCGACTTCACTTCCATCTCTTAGGCTGCAGGCGCCGCGGCGGTGTGCGCCCCAGGGTGCTCGGCACCGGGGCTGGCCTGCAAGGCTTAGGTCGTCTCTCAAAATGAGATGATGGCTCTGTGCTGTAAACCTGCTACTAGACGCCTATCCCGAACACTGAACCACAAGCTGCACCACCACACACCACGGCCAGCAGCAAGCGACAGCATGGCAGCCTGCTCGGTCGAGAGGACGCGTCGCAGCATCCGGTCCTACAGGATAGTGCCCAGTTGCTGGAAGGCCATCTGTGCTTCATAACCTTTTCTTGGGGGGCTTCTTTTTAAATCGGTAATGCTATGCAAGTCTTGGTCTTCGGAGCAGAGATGCACAGAGCTTCTGGAGGTGGCTTGGTAGTTGTATGTGACAGCACCGGATTTCCGTTTCTCCAATATGCTTGGGCCCTCCGGAGGTGGCTGAACAAAACGGGCACCGGAAACCGATCCGTATGAGGAACCATGTCACACGAACACAAGGAAAACACTGCAGGGTGTCAAAACCTGTTCAGTGCGTGATTGACGTGCTCAAGACGTGGTGGATGTCCTTGTGCTCGATCACCTCATTCAAACGCCTGCCACTGGACCGGGTACTAAACTTATGCCGGATGTCTTGCCTTGCAGCCATCCTCGGGGGGAGCAAAGGACGACTGTCTTTCCGTCAGTATGATTCAAAGCTTGCTTGAATGCCAACGTCGCCAATGCTGCAACTCTTTGCCTTTAGGGAGCACACTGGGAATGTACGCTCACGTGTGCAAAGCCATGTTTGGTTTTGGGGGTATCTATATTGGGTGTCCATTCGACGGCTCATTACTTTAAGAGCATGCCCATGGAAGCCGACTTCCGACCCACCACCCAGTGGGCCCTTGGGGCCCCGACCGTCGGGCCCTGAAGGATGTCCTGACAAGGCAATGAACTCAACACGACGCCGCATGCAGTGAACTGGCGGCAATGGCTAAGTACTCGAAGGTGCCGAAATCCCGAATGCCGCTCGTCAAAGTCAAATAGACAAGACGAAACGATATTCACACCCAGCCATGCTCATACCACGACGTGTCGGCACGGCGTCCTGATGAGGTGAGGAGCGTTCCTCAAAGGCTGCAGGGAGACCATGAAACGAGCAAAGCACACCCCACCCAGAATAGTTCTTCTGACATTGGGACTCAGGACGGCTTGACAATCAATGCGCCGACAAATGTACAAAATTCCGTTGAGACCTCTCATGCGCACAGCTGAGCAGTTGTCGCACTTCTGCCACCTTCAAAACAACCCACGTTGCCCCGAGGTCCTGATCGCATCTACTGATCCAAACAGCTTCATATCAAGAGGCTGGCCCCCGGCTGCCACGAAGCATCGCAATCGCCCGAGCGCTTCCTTCCGGGACGAGTGAAGGAGCCATCACATGCTCCATGGAGAATAATTAGAACAGGGTTTGGCAGTATATTACACTACATGCATGGGTCTCGCGTTAAAAGTCGAATGTTTGTATATAACTACCACTAGGAACCCCCAAAATAGTATTGGTAATTTGTTTAGGCCCTATAGTAGCCCTTGGGGGGCGAAGCAGACTGCTTGGCTCTCCTTGCAGTCTGCGTACTGCTGAAAGAGGGACAGGAGCCACTCACCTCCAAGGGCTCCGGCATGGAGTGACGTTCTGAAAACATGACTTCACAGCGTGTGGCGGCGAATCAGTCACGGCAAGGGCCTGTGGTCTCATTGTCTTCGTCGCATGCGAACTTTTCTGCCTTGGTTGCATGGTTGTCTTTGCACGACAAACATAAGGATGAATCAGCAGTCTCCGATGACATCAAGTTTCTGAAGATCAGTTTACACTCGCCAAAAAAGGGTGTCCGTGCCCGAGGTTTGATTGCACGGCACGTTCTAGCTGTTTGCCCTGGCTGTTGTTACGGACATGCCGCGGCCACGGTTTGGCATGGTTTGCAGCTGCTTGCAGTCCTTTGGACAGAATGCCGCGAAGAACACAGCCGCTGAAAGTCCATCACTTTGTCTTGCTGAATTTGGTTGGCCTAGTCGCTGCAATGCTTGATGCCCAGAAGTTACCGCAAGTTTCCCATTCTTTCACTCCGGTGGGAATTAATCTGCCCAGGGTCGGTTGCATCGTAGTCACTCCAGACCTGCGACAGGTCCCGAGACAGCGTAGACTGAACTGTGTGGACGTGTGGACTTTCGCTTAAGCGAGTGTTGTGCCGGTTAAAGATATGCCCGACGCCTAACTCTCGTGATGCTCCGGATGCTCTCTGCCAAACCCTCAGCAAGGCAAATTCCAATGGCTTCGCATGGCTTCAATCAAGCACCCGGAGATTGAACGAGTGCAAGCAGTCTGCCAACTGCAAACCTCTTGAATCTGACCGAGGACATGAACAGGCCGCCGGTTGGCGCCTGCAGAGGAGCCCCTGTGCGCGACACCATGAGCTCACCCAAGGCGCGGACGCACGCCTCAAAGTGTGGGAGAGCTGCCAGGATCAAGAGCCGCTTACACGAAGGCTTGTGCTGTGATCCTGACAAGTTTCGACCAAACTGACAGACATGCGTTCTGACCGTCAGGCATGCTGGTACCAGCAAGGGCACATAAGCGAAATGGACAAGCTGTTCCTCTCGCGCCCAAAAGTCTCAGTTGTGAGTTTCCCTCTTGTGGCACCGCTGGTTTGTGACCTTCGATGTCTCGACATGGCGGTGGCTAAGCCAAGGCTTTGTTGTGCGCGCGGGTGTCTCTGCAGAGACCACGACAGCCATTTAACCGATCTCATTACTGCTGAAGACTTGCTGCGCATCGGACTGACTACGAACGAGTTGCTTGTCATGTAGAGACATGCCGAGCGTCGTCAATGAGGACATCAACTCGCACATTGAACTTGTCCTTGAGATGTCAGGGTCTGCTCTCGAACGGAATGCCAATAGCGTCCTCGAGCCTTCCTCTCCAATTCCACACTTACATCTAGAGTCTCGGGTCCACAGGTCCTCAGAGCCGTTCCCCGTTGTCCGAAGCCTTTGACACCTCTGAAGAATCAGAGACTGCCTTAATTATTTCACACGGAAACCTTCGTAAGTTCTGCTTCGACACCAGGAGCGAGGAACGCCGCATCCAACACTGCGGGCCATCGGGGCCAGGAGCCTCCAGACCATGGGGGCTTGTCGCAGGACCAAGTGGCAAGCTTTGTAGATTTCTAGCATAAAGGGGTCTTGCAATGATACTGAACGGTTGCCTCGTGCTTTGGGTGGAATACTTTGCTGGCTGCAGCACTTCTGCTGGCAGGAGCCCCCTCCCTGGCCCTGAAATCATCAAACCTCAGCCTGTTCTCAAAGTTTGAAGCTCCAGCGCAAAGCGATGCCATCGTCGTGCCTCTGCCAATAGCTGGTCCAGCCTGACGATGGATGCTATCTTAATCATTGTAGCACAACGTCTGGGCAAATGCCAATGGGTGCACACTCTTCAGACGTCATTGACTGGGTGCCGGGCAGTGCACGGTCGTAGCCTTGGAATCGGGCTACTGTAAGTCTTTACACTTCACGGGTTGATTTGTGTTCTGCAATCCCGCTATGTGTGTCCGAACGAAAATCACGCTCACAATGTTGCCCAACAGCCATTTCGGAGAAGTTACTACCCAGCTACAAAGAGCCTCAATTGCCTTTTCTCGCGAGGTTGTGCGATTCTGCCCGATGCTGCGATAGGTGCAGAAGGTGTCAAATGTAGCCAGGAGTCTGAGCCATTTGGGTACGTGACGAAGCTCCTCGGAAGGCACAGTGTGCAACGTCCCTTCAACAAAACTCATCACCCCGTGCCCAACGAATCACAGCGTGTCTAAGGAGCCTCCGCCACTGCTCCCGCAGCGCCAGCTGCAAAACCGGCTGCATGGAGGAGCTCTGCCTCGTCACCTGCACGTCTCGGGCAACACTTGCAATCTGCGGCTGTCAGTCTTGGAGCTTCGGGCTTCTTATGATCACCGCTGCAAGCACACACACCAAATCCTTGTCCTTGCCCTACTGCGATGCTCACTCATCCATGGCAGGCCATGGTGAACCGATCGGGCATGGCTGACTTCAACAAACCGAAGCACGAACGACAGGCGATCCCCTACGGCCCTACGCTGAACCCACCATGCGTTTCACGCTTTACAGAAGGCTTTTTTGCAGCAGTGTCTGTCTGCCGTCTGTAAGCAAGAAAGCATTCAGTCCAGGGTCGGTCAGAGAAGGAGTCCGATGATCGTACAGCTGTCAGGCCACTAGTTTGCTGGAAACGCCGCTTGACTCCGGAGGACGTCTGAGAGACCCAAAAGGAAGCACCGCACACTCCATGCTTGACTTCTTGATCTCGTCAGTCTCTCAAGGTGTGATTCCAGCGTTGGCACTGCCAGTCACGTACTCAAGTTCGACTACAGAGGCCGGAAAAGTGCCTGTCCACGAGCGATGCAAACGGGCCCTGCACCCTGCACCCTGTCTGCCTTGCAGCGTCTCCGTGGTGGCACGGCGGAGATTGCGCAGCTTTCTTGCCGCGACATCACCTTAACAGACCAGGGACCCCGCTTTAACTGTAAGTGCCGACTTCAAAGCTCATGGCGTGACACATCATGGAACGACTGTCGCATCGGCCGAGAAGTGTGCAGACGAATGTGCAAATGCGTGCAAATATACATGCATAGCACATGAATATACATGTCTACATGTCATGTAAAAAGACGAATCTCAAATCAATACATTCATGGGGCCTTCGGGAGAGCCCCGAAGCGCCAAAGCGAGCGCGGTCTGGCCACGCCTCAGTATTGAAGAATAAAGGTGCCATAGGTTCCAGGGATGCGCAAAAGAGATATAGTCTCTAGATGTACAGCTTAGTCACCCCATCACCGTTCATCTACTTGGCTGCCGAGTATTGCCTCTCGCCTGTTGGATCGAAACCTATCAGTCAGCAGCGTCATTGGAACGATGCGCCAAACTTTCGCAGTCTCTGCTGCAAGGCACTTTAAAGTTTGACCGAGCCACTCCCTCTGCAGCGAATGGACGGTCGCCAGGCAGCGCATGACACAAGACAGCGCTGCCTTGGCATGGTCAGGTGGCTTCACACTTTACAGCTCTCCTACGATGACTGGATACTGCTCTTCACATGGCATCGCAGCCGCAGGTGCATGCTGCGACCAGATGCTGATGCTACCTCTTGTGCTATGTTGTCTCGCTCAGCCAGTCCGGACACAGAGACAAGCGGACTTGACAAAGCCATTCGATTCTCTCACGAAGGACGACATGCGGGTCAAGGTGTGGCCAGGCAGCACCTGGAATAGCAACTTCATCTCTTCTCTCACCGTAACATAAAACCCACACTCACTCTTTCCAACCTTGTCATGCAGTCTAAGACTAGCCAATGGCGGCGTCACAGCTTGAAACCACGCCTCCACAAAACTCGCATCGTTCTGCTGCCCATGCTACTGGGTAGCTGCTCGAGGTCCTCCGTAACCGAAGAATCGCCGAACCGTTCCCAAGCCACGCAAAGTTCGAGAGCCCAAAAACCATAGCTGCCATAGCTGACGAACCCACAACAACCCAAAACCAAAGCCACGCGAAGCCGAAAGCCTGAATTCCCTGATCCCCCTCGTCCTCCCTACCAAAACCACTTTCAACGGCCTCCCGAAGTCGCTGGCCCGAGGGAGGTCTGGACACGGTCCTCTTGCGGTTGGGGCTCCTTCCGCGGCGAGGTGAAAGCCCGTTTCACGCTTTCCGTCCGAAGACCTTTTGGGGATAGGTGCCCTGCATCCCAGCCCATGGAGGCTTTGCTGTAGTTAAAATTAGTTCCGAGTTTGCATCAGGGGTGAGCTGTCCTAACCAACTTAACGGGCCTCGGTGTTTGGGCAGGGCTGAAAATCTTTGAGCGAGGCATCCTGGACACGGGCGAGCGCTTGCTGCGCAAAATGGAGCCGAGGATGTGAGGCAGCTCCTTGGGTGCGGGGCATGAACCCCGAAATGCTTCGAATTCGGCAGCGTGCCACACTTCAGCCACCGAAGCACCCGCAGCAACAGCACCCCGAACCAAGAAAGTCGCAGGTGGGTCACATGGTTGAGGATAACATCGTTAATCAGTAGATAAGGTGCGAACATAGAGTACGCGTACAGTGCTACTGCTACTGTAGCTAGTCTCGCAATCAGCGTTGCGATGCTGTGACGGAGGATGCGTGTGCTCTGTGACAATGTCGAACATTCAATTGTACTGCCACTCTCTGCGGCGCCTGTTGGCATTTGTAAAGCCTCGAATTCAGTATTGTGGATATGTCGGCGTAGGGCGAGGCGGGGTAGTGAAGACAAAGAAGAAGAAGTTTTAGCAGCCTCAAGCACCGGCCGAACATGTGAACCGAAGTCTCGGCTGCATCTGACGGTGTGGAGGCGGAAGTCTCCTGCGGGCCGCGAGTTTGCGAGAAAAGAGAGGGACCGCTTGTTGGTTTGCAGCACGAGAGCTTAGCTGGCCCTAGATAAAGCTGTGACGGGCGAAGTGTCCCTGTGTCCCCAGCTGAGTGCAGGCATTCAGGAATCCTTCACTTTCAGGTGTCGCAAACGTTGCAGTGGGAAGCATTTCCAAGCTACTAGTAGCTACCGCACCACGTCGGACATGGAAGGGTGTTCTTCACAGCCATCCCGACTGATGTGCAGACACTGAGCCCAAAGCCACCTAGACAACCTTGCATGACTACTACCTAGTGAACCCGAGGAGGTAAAGAGGAGCCTCGTCTGGGACGAGGTCCACAAAACCCACGGCGACAGGCTTCTCCAGCTTTTCTGGGGCCGCCGTCTCCTCCGGCTTGACAAGCGGGGCAGTTCAGCAAGGAGGTTAAAGAGGGTTTCGTACAAGTAGGAGCTGGATCGAGTCTGGCTTCAATCAGACACCGTCAGTCACATGGAACCGATGGTTCTCATCGTCACAGCTGAGCAAGCCAAGAGGGTCCAGAACGGACTCCATTTCATCATCCAGATCTTCACATTCCGCCATCTCCTGGGAAAATCACATTTGAATTTGGCGAGGGGCTGTGCTTCAGGCGATTGGCAGCTCCCACCGGGCAGCAAGCAGTTGCAACGGCACTAAATGGACTCGATGCTACCATCCAAGGTTCCAGCTACAAAGTGCCACAAAACGCGAACAATCAGCTTTAGCCATAAACAGCTTGAAGCGCTTCTGCTCCGTTTCTCGATACCCTAGAAACTTCCAAGAGGTAGCTTTGCCAACACAACATCAACATCAAACGACTGTTCGAGTTGAGGGATCACCCATGACACGGAGCTGTGTTTAGAGTCTCTATGATGCGCTCAGCTGGATGCCAACAAACAACGACTGATGGTAATTCGCGAATACTGGCGAGCACTGCGATGCTTTACGAACAGTCTCGGGAACCTCCGACCAAGTGCCATTTACCATGAGCGCTCTATCTCGCATGCTGCAAGTGATCACCTGCTCCTGCTCAATGAAAGTCCACATCTGGGAGCCGCACTCCGAGTGGCGATGATGGGGGTGTCATCTGCGCTGGCGGTGCGTCGCCTGGAACGAAGCATGAAGCGGCGGTTTCGTACTTCGGCTTTCGAAAGGCTTGTGGTGTGTGGGTGGGGGCATAGACACTTCACGATGATGGGCAAGAGCTGCTTGAAGATCACCTTTCTCAACACCAGGGAACCACTGCGCACCAGTTGTGCCAGAAGCGCTGGTCGCTCGTCCAAATAGGCCTGAAAGGTCTCTTGCAAAGCGGCGAAATCTCTGACGAACTCAGACTGCTTTATTGTTCCCTCTCCCTACTCGCGGGCCACGTCGTGATGAGGCAAAGCAGGAACTCTGGCTTGATGGCCCGGCAGCACTTGCTGGCCACTGTCAGGGATGCATTGGCTGCAGCAGCTCCGAGATTCTACCTGCACACCTTCGAGCGCGGTCCGTGGCTCCTGTCCTATCGTCTTGGCAGACATCCCATAATTCCAGAGTGCGAAATCGAGCCAACAGGAATCATACTTGGACAACGAATCACCCGGAACACATAGCAATGATACAATCACCAACTCATTTTGGTAAGTGTGCTGCCAGGGCACCGCCACTTTTTGAGGCAGGAAAGCTCTCCAGCTTGCAGGGGAGTTGCGCACGAGGGTGGACGAGTAGTGCGGCAGCTCGCCATAGATGAAGTCGACATGAACCCTTCAGGCTTTCATGATTGTTGGCTCTCAGATTTGCTGTTCGTTCTGTTCGGGCCACTGGCATCAGTAAACTAGTACATTGTAAGGTTTCTGGAGTAGGGAACTGGGTCAAGAAGTGCGCATTAGAGTCGACAGACAATTCGCCGTACCGGCACACTTCTTGTTCAGTCTGCAATCCAAGAAGTGGCTTGGGACTTCAATTCTACACCCTCGCGACCTACGACCTACGGTTCACGGTCATAATTGCTCAACATGCCGAGGGGCTGATGCTCTGCAGCCAGGGCCCGAACCAAATCACCTTGTCAGGCGAAGGGAGTAGTGGCCAGTTTCACCACGCCACTTCGACACAGAGGGATTCGCAATTCTGGTCGCACTCTCACTGCGTCACCGAATCTTCTTGCCCTAAGTCTAGCTGCTTTCGGTGGGATTATGCATGGGAAAGAAAGCCAGCAAGTACATCCAGCTTGTCAAGATCTGCTTCGATCTTTGCAGGCAAATCAGCAACACCCTGAAGTTCTAATCTTAACTAACCTCTTCATAGATCAGGACGCATTGATTCTAAATTCTAAACCCTCGGCGTTGGGCTGCTGCACAGGTGCTGTCCACCGGCGCTTGATAGAAGCGGTCAGTTTGATTGTCAGGTGCCTGGTCTCTCTATTGTCCGGAATGCAAGGGGCCAGTGGCTAAGACAAATCACAAGAAATAACTAGCATCCCTTCTGGCAGCACGACAGGCGGAGAGTCTCTGACATGCAAGGTACGGAAGTCACGAGAACCCTTCCATCCTTCACGAAGTACGGCGAAACCTGATTCACGAATCCTCTCCTTCCGAAACCTGAACTCAATACAACCTGTGCGAGCAATTTGGGGGGGGGGGGGCACCGGAAGTGCTGTCGAGCGAACCTTGTGCAACCGCCTTTGGACGATGAGCCCGTCCAGCTCGCAAAGCATGGCCTGTCCACGCTCATTGGAAATCCACTCGAACCTTGGGCAGGAGCCCTGCTCGTTTTGTAATGGTTGGGGCAACTGTAGGTTCGAAGCTGCCTATTCGACGCGTGCTCTCCAGCAAGCCATCATGGCTTGCTCTCCGCGGCCGCAGGTGCTTGTTAGAACTAGAGAGACATGGACCCGTGCGTCTCAAGCTTCTAATGACGTTTGAAATGTACGAGCTAACTCACATTCCGACGTGCCCTTCGTCGGGAATGTGACCCTGGCCGCTGATTTCAAAGGGTGTCCAGGCCTCTTTCCATGTTCACGGCTGCACAAATCTCTTCTCAGGCTTGTTAATTCTTTCCTGCCTTCCGTCCAGATTTTGAGGATTAATGTAAGAAAAGCGCTTGGGCCACTCGGTCGTCCAAACCAATTGCAGTCCTCAGAAATCCCAAGCCATTGCCTCTGATCGGAGCCGAGGGGCACATCATCCCCGCAGACCCACAGCAGTTTGCTTCCCTCGGGGTACTTCTTCCGCAGGGCACGTAGCATCACTACCTCGAAAGCAATTCTTCTAAGTGACGCTTGGAGGCACAGTGTTTGCTCGTTAGATGGTGTCTTTGGTTTGAGAGCAGATGCCCCTCTGTACAGGCAGCACCAGGCTGCAACCTGATGTCTTCTGTGATCCTCTTCGTTTCAAGGAAGCATTACGAATTTCAGGCCAATGTGGCAGGGGAAACTAACTAGCCAGTGCCACAACTTCTGGATCGAGGCCCACGCGTTTGACTCTTCGGTCTCCTGCTCGACGGAGCTCACGCCTTCAGGACGTCAATCTGCACATGTCTCTGTCCTAAATACTGAAAATGATATACGCTCGCACATATATAAACATATATGTACATATGTATATACATATATATATATATATATATATATATATATACGTACGTGTGTGTGTGTAATGTGTATACGTGCATGTATGTACGTATGTACGTATGTATGTATGTATGCACGTATGCTTGTATGTTTGCATGCATGTATGTATGTATGTATGTATGTATGTTTGCATGTGTGTATGTATGTATGCGTTATTACATACACATACACGCACACAGACATATATATATATATATATACACACACATGCATACCTGCGTACATACGCCGTACGTGCCTGCGTCTATCCGTACGCACGCCGATACATACATTCACCGTCATTCACGCGCGTCTTGCTTGAGTACCTGTTGTTTATATGCCGTATTGATTTTCCTTTTCGTGTCATATGTCTATCCGTACAATCTACGGTATACAGACCGTATATGAGCGGTGATCGCATATGTACGTAGTGCGTATCACCGCCGCATGGACAAGCAGCCTGCCGGCACCCCTTTCTCAAGATATTCTCGCACAGCAGGCTGCCTATGCCGCTTGCGGACACGGCGAGCTCGCACATTGCAACGCGATCTTCAAACGGAAGCAGGTCCTGCGCTGACAGAAGCAAACTTCCGAATAAAACACACAAACCATGCTGTCCTTCTTCACCGGGTGCTTGAAAACAGGTACCTTGTTGGCAGGGTGATGGGGGAGCTAAGCGGGGAGAAATTGCAAAACGTGTCGGGCTTCTTGGAGTCTTGGAGTCCACCCTGTGCACCAGAGCCGTCCCCGGGTCGTGGGAACCAGCAGAACCCTTTCGGGATGTGTACGAATTATTTCCCGTGTCAGAATGAAGGGAAAGGCGTGGGGAAGCCAACTGCATCCGTGCTGCGAGAAGCACTTCGTCAACAGGCTTGGTCTGGTGGACGGTTATTGCCTCGTGTGCACTTCAATGCAAGCTGGCCTCGCATCGAAGAACCTCCTCATCCAAATGACGCCACGGTTCCGATTGAGACGTGCTATGAACTTCTTGCACCTAACGACGGCCAGAACGGCCTCGCCTCTGACTCTGACATTACCTTGACCAGAAAGCTTCTTTTACTTGCCACTCGATTGGTTCACTCTTCACCATTCCACAGGCGAGTGCTTCACACTTCAAGCTGCTCAGCATGGCTTTACGGGCAATGGGCGGTCCAGGCTCGATGCCGTTTGAATCGATGTCGCGATGTGGCACACCGCTCTCTCTCGACAGCAGGTTCTTTGCTGCCCCCCCCGGCATCGAAGTACGTCCCCCCCCCACCGCCACCAACTTCCACATGTCGAACCAAGCCGCAAGCAATGCATGGCCCAAGTGAATAGGGTTGAAGGATCCACCCATCACCTGAGGAAATTGATGATGGATTCAGTTCTCATACTTGCAAATTCTGTGCAATGGAAGCGGGGGAGCAGCATACACTCGATACTGTTCGATTGCCGGCCTTTTGTTCCCTCATGCTTTCACCTGAACTTGGGCGAGTGTTTATAAAAGATCTTAAGGACTTGGAGCATACAAGGACAGTTTGAAAAAATGTCGAACCAGACATGTTGCACTGATGCTTACCTGAAACCCCTTGTGACGGATTGCCCACATGAAGCACTTCTGCGGGAGCGACTTCAAACTGCAAGCATCAGCACAACTCCGTGCCTCAGGTTCAGTTCGACGGAGCGACTGATTTGCAACGGAGATTCTGAATTTGATATGTATATTATATATATATATATGAATATATAACTTATGCCTAAAACCTCAAGAGTAAAACTGTAACCGTCGCTCTCAATAAAAGAGCTCTGGGGTATCGTGCTCTCATTGTCTCGGTGCAGGTGAAGTGTCCCCCACAACTCTTGGCCCATCTGCCGGCGACATGGTGACCTGATGCATTCAGGCGGGGACTGTCCGAGTCATGAGCCGATCAAACATGGTCCATCGGGAACATAGCTTACCCAACTCGCCCATGACTCTCAAACTAGGTCCGGACAAAAAATGCAGAGCCAGCCTGCCCTCAACCCTTCCCGAATGCGCGGCTACCCATGGCTCAGTCCTCGTCGTGAAATGATAGCATGACACGGTGGGTCATGTTATGTTGGGTGTAGATACGTTCACGACGAGCGTCTCACAGTGTTACTAACAGTTCCAGCCACGGTAGTATCTCCCCCTAGATGCCCGACTCCAACAAAGCAGCAAGACAAATCATGCACTCGGCCGCTGCCTGGGAAGAAGTCGCAGCAGTGGCTAGTCAGGGCAGCCAGGGCTAGAGCCGCACGGCAATGGTTCCAGCAATGTACTCGGACTGCGACAAATCGATTCGATTCAAGAGGGTTGGAAGCTTTTCGAGAACTTCGGCTAACCGCCTTTGGGGTTGGTGTAAACTTCAACCCTGTTCCAACATGTCGGCTGTTGCTGACCTGTGTGGACTGGCCCCTCGCTCCAGGCTACAGCACTCCGCAAGCTGCAAGAATGCTTAGTCTCTATTGCTGGACGACATAGATCAGCCAAACAGTCCGCGATGGCTGGAGTGGGTGCACCTTGGTCGGCGGAATGTGCAGCGTGAAGATCCAGCCTCCACCAGCTAGAAAGACTTGCAAGTCATGTGCAGAGTTGGATGCTTCATGTTCCGAGCAGCATTTGTATTGTGTCCACCCTACTGTCAAAATATGTCAAAATGTAACAGTTTGCGGCGAGATTCGGTGACTCCTCTCAGCTGTCGCTGAGGATGCACGCTGCAGGTGGTAAGTTCTTCGTTCACCAAGTACTCCTAACACAGTGTCGAATTGCTTTACTGCCGGGCAGGCGGAAGGATGCTGCAGGTGACCAGCAGTCCTCTATCTCAGCTCACTGCATATGCAAAGGCTTCACGAAGTCGAGCAAAAAAGCTGACCTGCCCTCAACTCCTGCTGCAAACGAATGCAGTGGGAAAGTCTGTGCTGCGTTTTTGTATCAAGTCCGCCCAACACTTGGTCTTCAGCACTGCGTCCACATCGGTGGGAAGCAGGTGGCGCTTGGGTGCAGTCTCTTCGCGAGAACTGGCAGCGGGGTTTATGGAGATTGTGCTAAAAGGCATCGCCTTGGCTGCGACAGTTGAAGCATTCAGTCGACATCGATGTGCTTGCTGGCTTTTGGTGTTTACCTCCATCCATGTCAGATCCTTCTACATACAGCTTCGGCGAGCTTAATGTCCGGGCACTGTCACGTGGAAAATCCCGGGTGTGCTGCATCGACGCGAGTCCAGGAATCCCCGCAACAACCTGCTGAGACTGAGCCGAGGTACACTAAGTTCTCTTCTAGGAGGTTTGGGGAACCGTTTTACGAAGATTGCCGTGTCCAGCTTGAAAATATTCCCCGACGCAGTTGGGGCGCCCTTTGGGCTCATCTCAAGCTTCAGTTCCGGAAGGCAGCTGCAGGAGAAAAACAAATATCAACACATCCACACGTGCCACCATGAAAAAGCAGCTGCCTTGTTGTAAAATCATTCAAAACAAGACGTCTGGCAAACTCAATGATCAGGGATGCCCTTCGTACAGCTTTGTCAGCATGCTGAGCTGCGAATCTGGAGGTAGATGTGTTCGCCATGCCTGTCGCAAGAAGCGCAAGTGCGACAAATCCGGAAAGCTGCTTGCGCTCTGGCTTCGACTATTGCCCCGGCTGGTGCATGCTAAGCTTCCATACGGACAAACGTATACACCTCCCTTCATCCTGGTTTGTGGGGTGGATCTTCAGGGAGGGCTAAAGGCGCTGTTAACTTGCTTAACTGGCCGTTTCAGCCTACAAACGGAAATTTGGTTTTCGAGAAGTGTTTTTCACTTGGTGGGATGGGTAAGCGTCGGATTTGGGGGCCACGCGAAATCCAAAACACTTCTTCCCTTTTTCCGTGTGCCAGCGGTGGTGAAGTGGTAATATGGCAGTATGGCGGTGCTAATAGTAGTAATAGTAGTAGGAGTCGGCTGGTGAATTTTGCGGAGTTGGTGGCGGTGTTTCCACAATGTCGAAAGTTCTTTCCCCCCATGACTCACATGTGTATATGTATATATATATATATGCATATATGGGTCTGTCTTTGTTGGGGGGGTTGAATTTGTAGTCTTGGAGGAGTGTTGTCCTTGCGCGAAACACACCCCGAAACATACCCCGAAACATACTCTGAAACATACCCCGAAACATACCCCTGAAACATACCCCCGCGTTATTCAAATCGTTTGGATGAAGTTAGCAGCGGGCGAAGGTCTAGAGTAGCTCAACCCAGGTCAGGAAAGGTTTCCCGTAACATACCCGTAACATACCTGAAACATACCCGAAACATACTTGGATTTGCTCCAAGTGGCCCGTTGGCCTTTTCCGCTTCGAAGCGATACTAACCGCCTGACAAGTCGGGGCCTTCCAGACCTGCAGCCCACAACGATGCCTGTACCACTACTGCAGCTATTGTCACTACTACTTCTACTACTTCTACTACCACCTGTTCGCATTTGGTTTTGGTTGGACTTTTTTCTTTCTTTGTTGACTGATTTCTTTTTGGTCTGACTTTTTGTTTTGTTGGTCCGAAAAATTTTATTTGGTCGGATTTTTGTTTTTTGGTCCGAAAAATATTATTTGGTCTGATTTTCTTTTTTTTGGTCCGAAAAATATTTTTTGGTCGGATTTTTGATTTTTTTTGTCCGATTTTTTTTTTTGGTCTGAATTTTTTTTTTGGTCCGAAAAATCTTTGTTGCTCGGATGTTCTTTTTTTGGTCCGAAGAATCTTTTGCGGTTGGATTTTCTTTTTTTGGTTCGAATTTTTTTTGGTCGGATTTAATTATTTTTGGTCCGAAAAATATGTTTTGGTCGGATTTTCTTTTTTTGGGTCCGAAAAATATGTTTTGGTCGGATTGTTGTTTTTTTGGTCCGATTTTTTTTTTGGTCGGATTTTTGTTTTTTGGGTCCGGTTTTATTTTTTTGGTCGGATTTTTGTTTGTTTGGTCCGAAAAGTCTTTGTTGGTCCAATTTTCTTTTTTGGCGGAAAAAAATCTTTTCTGGTCGAAAAAATCTTTTTTGGTCGCCTTTCTGTTTTTGGCGCCGAAAAACACTTCTTGAGGATGGATTTTACCTTGAAAAACACTTCTTTTGTATGAAAAAAACGGTTGAAAACACTTCTCAAATTATTTTTCCGCGTGAAAAAACGAAATCCGACCAAAAAAGATTTTTTCGATCAAAAAAAGTTTTTTCCGCCAGAAAAAAGAAAATTGGATCAACAAAGATTTTTCGGACAAAAAAAACAAAAATCAGACCAAAAACTATTTTTCGGACCAAAAAAAGTCAGACCGAACAAAAAATTTTCGGACCAAAAAACAAAAATCAGACCAACAAATATTTTTCGGACCAAAAAAAGAAAATCAGACCAAAAAATATTTTTTCTACCAAAAAGAAAATCCGACCAAAAACGATTTTTCGGACCAAAAAAAATAAAATCAGACCAAAAAACAAATTTCGGACCAAGAAAACAAAAATCCAACCGCAAAAGATTTTTCGGACCAAAAAAAAAGAAATCAGACCAGAAAAGAATTTTCGGACCAAAAAAAGGAAAAATACGACCAGCATATATTTACGTACCAAAAAAATCAGACCAACAAAAGTTTTTCGTACCAAAAAACAATCCGACCAAAAAAAATTTTCGGACAAAAAAAGAAAATCATACCAAAACATATTTTTCGGACCAAAAAAAATAAAATCCGACCAAAAAAAATTCCGGACCAGAAAAACAAAAATCAGACCAAAAAAAAATTCGGACAAAAAAACAAAAATCAGACCAAAATCCGACCAACAAATATTCTTCGGACCAAAAAAAGAAGATCCGACCAACAAAGATTTTCCGTCAAAGTAAATAAAATCCTACCAAAAAAGGTTTTTTCTGACCAAAACAACTAATATCCGACCAAAATTGATTTTCCGACACTCCCCAATCAGGCCCTTGATCAGGCTGGGGGTCAGGGTCGAGTCGAGGCATTGTGAGCCTCTAAACTCCGAGTGCTGCTGTGCCTAAAAGATGAGCGTTGACGAGTGGAAGTCTGAAGAGTTTCGCTTGTTTTAGTTGCTCCACCCATGCTTACTTTGAAATTCTTTTGGTAGGCCCCAAAGATTCAAGCATCCAAAGCGCCCCCCCAACCCCAAAACACAAATGTGACATATGAACCTTGTAATCCTGCGCCCCTTGCTTTCTGAGCCCTCATCACTGGCCCGTCACACACAAGATTTAAGAAGTGTTTTCCCTGTTTGCGGCAACGTGCGAAACACTTCTTGGTTTTTAACCCTGCAACAGAGCTCGAAAACACTTCCTGAACCCAAACCGCCAACACACAAGCAAGTTAACAAAAGGCGCGCGAGCGTTCCCGGATGGGGAAGGGGAGGCGAGTGACGAGTGTTTGTTTGTTATCTTATGATCATGACGATTTCTCTTGTTAATATCGTTTCCCCCGTGGAGAGGAGGACGAACAGAAGGACGAGCCGGAGGGGGAGGGGGTGGTAGCACCTCAGTACACCCAAATAAGGCTTTCGAAGGGTGTAAATCAAATACTGAGAATTGACAATGGAATGGCCCGCTCCATTATGGTTATTTGTGTTTCCCGGGGGCCCGATTCCATCCGAATATTCCATATGTTTATTTCTTCGAAAAATGGCACTTAAACGGTTTCCTGGTTCATCTGCTAGATAGGTTGGTTGTTGCTACAATACTCTACAGTATTGACCTGTCCACCACGGCCTGAGGGCAGAGTGCGGCCAAGTCCTTGCAGCTTCCACGAAGGCTGTCGCCGCCTTGAGCCTCTGACCTGGGATCTTCAAGAGCAACGTGTGCGCGCCGCCCACCGTTAGCCCACCATCTTGAGCCGTTACACGAGTGCAGTATCCAGTTTCCGAGTCCCAAGAAGATGTCTTCTGGGAAAGCACATGCTTGAAATCGGTCCGCCAGCAAACGCTAGGACGGCAACGAGAATAGCTTCGACTCAAAATCACGTGCCGGCTCCACGCGATTCATGTGTTACTGTTGTTACATGTCGCCACCCAGATAACTCGAAAGCATGGTCATCCAGATTCCCAGCAGTGCGCATATGTGCCCATGCTGCAAGCGAGTCTCAAGGGCCGGAAACCAAAGTTGCACCTGGGCGTGTGATGGGCACTGGGTTTACTAGCTGCATGAGAGGCAGCGCCAGCCGGACACCATGTGTATCCCTGAGCCAGTAACTTGCAGGCGAGTAGGTGACCAGGTCCAACATTTACTCTCTTAACGATGCCGGCCTGCTCTGAAAGCATAATGGTGCTGAGGCACAGATATTGAGGCAGCTTGCCGGAACCTCAGTTCAGCAGCAGGTCTGTCACTTCCTTGGGCGATGGGAAAATCATCGTCCAGCATGCTGCTTTGTTTCTTCTCCGTTCCTTCTCTCCTTCCTGCCATGGAGCATCTTCCTTCCTTGCTCCATCCCTCTCTGTCTGACGAGTATTCTGTTGCGTTGCAAAGTCGACCTACAGTACTTGATGGACCGTGGTGAGAATTCGCCCAGCAGCCGTCGTCCACTGGAGTCAGTTCCAAGGTAGACGTTCCGAACCAGCGAGCGAGGGAAGCCACAGCGCCCAACAAGGCCATCTCAGGACAGGAAACTGTCTCTGCAAGTCTCCGAACCACCGAATGCACCAGGAAATCGAAGCCACAGACAGGCAGTCGGGTTTGAAGCTGACAGTTGCACATGATTGTACATATTACGAGCTTCTTGCATGTCGCAAACCTCATTCTTCTTCATGCTGCCAAGATGCAGCGAGCGTGGGCTTTCCTAAGTGGAAGTCAGGTCACGCGACCGGCACAAATGTTCAAACGCTCTCTTGCCTTGCTTGTCTGAATCTTCCAGGGGCAGCATCTGGTTGGTGATGTCATCCCCAGGCCGTGAAGCCCGCACATTGTCCTTCAGAAGTTAATGGAACCCACCTCTTGTAAGGACGGCTGCCCCGACTTGTTGCCACGCCATCACGACAACAGTGACGATCACGACAGCGTCTGCCACTCTGTGGCGCTGCTTCTCATATCGTCCTACAGCGACGATCACGACTGTTACTGTGATTGCGTTTACGCAGCTGTTGGCGTGCAAAGGCTCCGTCGGACGCTGCTTTGGCGGTCCCATCCAGAAGACGGCCACGCACCGCCTCATCTGCAGGCTTGGAGCCACTGCGGCCAAGCCAGATCCTTGGGCTCAACGGCTGCACGTGGGAGAAGGGACTCTCATCCTCAGGGTTAGGGTTGGGCCTGCTTGCCTTCAGTGGGCTTAGGGTTAGCTCGTTTCCCAACACCAAGCTCTTGCAGTGGTAGAAGCTCTTGATGGAGCCTTCGCGGTCAAAGAACACCGAAAAAGCTCGGTTGCTCCAGGCCGAGCAGCACCCGGGCGCTGCTCTGGGTCAGCCGCACCACTGCCCGGCAGTACACGAGCCTGAGCACTTGGACTCTGATTCCAGGAAGAGTTCAGACATCAGCCTCGTAGCCTAGACATGAGATGATTCAGGGGTCGGTTGCGCAACAGACTCTGGTTACAAGCGTAGTCGCATCAGAACTTCCTGGAGTTCACCACAACTCTGCACGAACAGGGCTGGCCATCGAGTCCAAGCTTCTCAGCACGGAAGGAGCGGAGGTGGGCGGAGACAGTCACCTTTTCCGAAACTTTAGGTGCAAGGTGAGCTGCAATGCTGGACTGTCTTCTCAACTAGGCACCCCGTTCCTAATCACAGCACGGTTTTGGCTGCCTCTTGATTTTCCTTCTTGAATATCCCTTCTCTAACACTACGCCCGAAGCTTTGGAGCAAGTCTGCACCTTTGGTGTAGCGTCGTGGGAGGAGCCCACAGCGCGCAGCTCGACTTGGCAGCCCGAAGGCCAGGCAATGTTCCAGTCCCACCTGGCTTCGGGGACTGCATTGGAAAAAGGATCGTAGGGAAAGGGCGGATGTCTCCCGGAACTACAAGAGAGCTACGTCGCTATGTGTATTTAGGGGCACGAAAGCACCAATCACCTCCGATGCTTCAGGCCCTTCAGGCTTAATCTTAAGGGACAGTGTGCACAATTTCGGCTATGGCTATGATGTATCTGCAAGGCCCACCGTTCAAAGGGCAGGAGGAATGCAGGACGAGTCAGAAAGATCGGGTTCCAGTGCTGAAGGGGGAGCACTCGAGTCACCTCGGCGGTCTCTTGCAGTCTTGGCTCGGATTCTTACGAGTGTTGGTTTCTTACTTCGAGGCCTCAGGCCAACCGTCAATCCGGAATCGCCCAGAGCGGGGAATTCTAAGGTCCCTGTGTGTTAGAGTCCCCCACCTCCCCCGCTCCCCACGCAATCCCCATACCATCGGAACAAAACTCGAGAGCCAACATGCTCTCCCAGCGACTTCTCCGGGGCGCCCATGAGGCCCAGGATGCAGTTGAGGTCAGGGCGCTGAGAGCCCCCTGGGCTTCGGGAAGTGAGAACACCTTTGCCTTTGCCCTGAAATCCTGGAACCTGATCCCGACGCTCCACCGGACAGGTCTTAGCCAAGCAGCCCCAAAGCCAGCCCCATGCATTCCATCCTCACAGGGCGGGCAATGGATGCAAAGGCCCCCTGGACTCGTTAGCCTTTGAAGAATCAAGCAACTCAGATAAACATACACGGTGCGTGTGACTATGGTTAAAAATCTATGCCACGCAGGGCAAGGCTGACCCTGCCAGTACATCCAGCGCGGCCTGTCAGTGGCAGGGCTTGGAGCCACGACGCAGGGGCCAGAGACACGATGCGGCCCAACGGCGCATCCATGCCTTGAAGGCACAAACTTGGAGGGGAATGTTCGCGACAGCAAGTTCGCTTGCCGTTGACTTAGAGACATGCCCACCTGACTCTGACTACATGTCTAGCATTTAACCGCGATGGGGCCATGCTGCTCCGCCGATTGCAACTTGGAGTTTCGATCCCAAGCCCATGCAGCTAGCTTGGTACCGAGATGCTAAGTTCGCCAAACATGGTGTGCGCAGAGGTGCTCTGGAATCCCAGGTCCTTGTAGTACCTGAAAAAAAGCAGGTGCTGGAGACCGGGCAGCGGGTGTTGGTGGGAAGGACGCCGTGATGCTCGGTTCAGAGGACTGGAAGTCGAGTCTCGTTGAAGAGCTTGGTGACGGAATCGCTTTCCACTTTGTCAGAGTTGAACAGATGACGTGCATTGCTCAGCTCTGTCCGAGTTGCTGGATGAGCCGGCAGGAGCCCTGGTCCTCCGCCCCCAACTCGACATGGGACATGCCAAAAGCTTCCTGACGTCTCAGACGGGCACAGCATGCGATCAGTCCAAAAACCCGTGCATCTCAGTCTCATCTTCCAGCAGGGCAAAAGAAACACCTAGAGTAACTTTCGAGTAACTGGAGGCAGGGAGGAAGGATAGAAAAGGTTGGAGGCAGGCCGCGGCGATGCATGCCAGAACGCCCAGGAGAGCCTGGAAAAGGTGGTATCTGGGTCCATCGACGTAAGAGGCTCTGTCTGAATCTAGTTCTGGGCAGACCTCAGGTATGCTTGATGCAGCAGGGTGCTCGAGAGCTTGGGGTTTGGACTTGCCCTAGATTTAAGTGTCGGTCATGTTTTGCACAGTTCCGAACCAATCTACATGTGAAGTCACTCCAGCGCTTGCCACCTGTTCAGATGGCTCTTCTACAACACCGGGCCGCCTGCGCCACCGTGAAGGGCCTCGACCGGTTCCTCTGTGCTGCTAGCTCCTGGGGGGATAGGAAGGAGCAGAAAAAGCTGCCACATGCTTCTCTCTCCTGCCATGTAGTCTCTCTTGGACTCTCTCTTTCTCTCTCGCCCTCTCTCTCTCTCTCGCTGCATCTGTCTGGGGGTTCCATGTGCAAGCGGGTAAAGCCAAGCCGGTCCATGAAGCGCCAGTCATCACCGTCCATCCCCGGAACGCTCTTCGCCCGGCTGATCCTCGCAAACTTTGGTGACACTGATGCCGAACTCATGCTCAGCATGGTGGAGTATGTCGATCGCCCGATAAGAGAGGACGAAGACGTCGTCCCGGCTGACGCTGCTACAACGTGTCTCGTGCGACAGAGAAGCCAATGGACATGCAGCGCACTTTTGGTGTTCTTCGGGCAGACCTGAGCCGGGCCGTCAAACGAGCAATGTAATCACAAAAAGAGGCTGAACAAACTTAAACATGACTGTCTTGGCCACGGCCGTCGCTGCTTGTATGACTGAAGCGCCACTGTTGGTCCACTGTTGCAGCCCTGTGACGCTGCCGCGGACTTCCGCAAGCTGAGAGCTGAATGGACCACCCTCCACCCACACCTTCGCGTTGATGCGTCATCTGCTATAGGCTGCACTAAACTCTGCTAATGTGACGGCTTCCTTGTAACTGGGACGGACAAACTGCGAAGTCGACATTGCGAAGTTCCCCTGGGTGCAGAGGTCATGCGCCCACACCCACGACGACAAGTCAAAGAATATCCTTGATACCCGAAGGGATCCAAAGGTTCTGTCCTGAAGTTTAATTGCTGGCATGTAGCGTGGATGGCACATCGGGGAATCGTGTCCTGACCGTATGCCGAAGCCACCCTGCCAGTTGATTTTTTGTGAGGGCTCCTCATGGGTACCCGCTGGCCTGCCTCTGGCATCCTCTTATGGCAGCTGTCGGCAGTTCACTCGGGATTGCATGCTGCGCGTCTTTGCAAGAAGTTGATAGCGGTTTGCGAGAAGCGTAAGCTCCAAGAAGGGCCAAGGAACGAGGGATCGAAAGAATCAGCAGCCTTCAGCTGCTTCTGCTGGTTCGAACTCGGATATCCAAGCATCGGACAGGCCTGGATTTCATCTGTCCAGCAGACAGCGTCACTTTAAGGTCGAGATCTAGCGTGGCACCTGAGAAACAGTGTGCACTGCGCAGTATCTGTGCCCTAGAAAGTCGCCTTGCGGTTGCTATGGGTGCATTGCTGCAGAGAACATCTTCGGCAGCTAATCTCTGGAAAGCCAGCAAACAATGTTATGAGATAAATATGAAACGATCATTTCTAATTCCTCCCACCCCCTACCGCCCTCTCTGCACCTAGACAAACATGCAGAACATAGGGAAAAAACAGTACGAATTCTGGCGCAAGGGTGAAAACCTGATTCCGGGTCATACTTATTTCATGTTTCATGCATGAAATATATAACTCTCATATATTGCATTCGTATGCTTGTCATATAGTGCTCATACCTTTGATCACTGTCGTGGGGCCGAGGATCTTTCTCAACATCAATTTTTGAGTGTACCACCCGCGCACAAGCTTTGTGTGAGAGAGGGTCAAATCCTCTGAAACGGTAGCTACGTTGCAAATCGAGCTAACCCGCACTGGGATCTTGTCTCGAGTTGAAGCCTGAAGCATGAGACTAGCGACGGGAATCATCCATGTGCGGCTAAGCTGCTTCTCACAGGCGCCGACCACTCCAGCATGCGTGTGCTGTGAGACATAGCATCCTGGCCGCGGACGGTGCTGGTAGCACAGGAGTCGCAGGGCAGAGTGGGTGCTCTGCTGCACAATAAGCGTGCGAATGCCACACAAGCTGATTTGGGGCGAAGAAGCGAGACCAGCCGGCTCGACCTGCAAAAGCATTCGTCTGGTGCAGTGCAGGGACACATGCGAAGGCCTCAAGCAAGAGGCGCCTCTTGGCTGAATTCGAGCGTTTCGAGCTTGGTTGGGAGGGTTGCGAACCGTCAGATTCCATTCAAGGTTTCGGATGCCTGCATTGCTACCTGCACAGGAATTTCACCCTCAGCAAACTTTAGCAGTCTACCTGCACCCTCGCCTGCGTTGGAGCTTGCCTCGCAGTGACTGTGTCGTCTGAGTTCCGCCATTATCGACCCTTGGCTGGTGGAAGCTTTCTTTGACGGAGCTGCCCTCAAGAAAGTCTCGCTTCTTTTGAGGCCACTATAACTATCTATGTCTGTACCAAGTACCTTCTATACGAATACGTTCCTGTGTGCTGCTTGAGCGACTCCCAGGCGGGTTGCTTTGACCTGCATCAATGCTAGCGTGCGCGAGACTGCTAGGATGAGTCAATGAAGGACATCGGACCACCCTGCTTGGAAACTCTGTCCGAGAATCGGCCCGACCACTCCCGGCAAGGTAACAGCAGCACAACAGTTCCGGGTCGTTGCGCACTGTGATGCCTCGCTGTAGCGCTGACATTGCTGCCGAGGACTGCGGCGCTATTATGCACTTTGGCAGACCTTGGTGGTGCCACAGGCAAACTTCGAAGGTCTGGCGTAGGCAACCGAAGCCGTACCACAAAATATCGACCTCCCATATCCCACCTCTCCTCCCGCCCTCTCCCACCCCATCCCACTTCCCACCTCGTACACCTCCACCTCCCGCCTCCCACCTCACCCACCTCCCACGTCCATCAGAGCCCTGAAGAACTCTTCAACGATCTGCGAGAAACTGCACTATCACTATATATGCTATCTTACACAGTAGACGATGGGGTGTTTCCACTTGCGCATGTTTCGTGAAGTTGGAGAGCCAGGTTTGTTGCTGTGACTCACTGTCACACTCCATCCTGCCAAACTGTTCTCCTGAATCGCCAGCCGGTTGCCCAAAGCTCATCATTGGAATGGGGGACAGCCGTCTTTCAGATGCGGCCGCATCTGCGTTTCCATGTGTTTCTGATTTCCATTTTGTGATTCCGGTTGCGATTCATGAGCTTGCTGGCCTTTTGCTTTAAGGGCAGGAATTTAGACTGGGAGCCGCGAAACCCATGAAGAGTATGACCAACAATAAGGGTCTTGTTTTTTACTTTCCCCAACTTGCAAGATGCACTACGTCAAGTCTGGGGCCTTGAACATTGCTGCTTGAGCCGTCTCCACTCGTTGCCATGAAAAGAGATTCAATAAAGGCGTCTCAGAGGAACTTCGTTGGATCGATGATTCGCAAGCAAGCGCTCGAATGTTTTCGAGATCTCCCTCGAACCTGCGGCTGTACACGTAGGGCGACGTAGGGCCTGAGCGAAGACCGAGCAGCCTACTTTGCTCTCTTGGAAGAAAAATTTTGCAAATAGCACGGCAATAAAAGCAGTATAAAGGCTTCTGCTTGGGCCGCGCAGAGGCCCAGGTCTCAATGGGGTCCGACCTCCTCAGTGCTTCAGCCTCATGGAGCGGACTTAGCACCCGCCGGGTCCGCAACGAGTGCGCAACTTCAAAAGTCGACGGCAGTCGCAGCGCGTCCTGAAATTGAACTGCCTTTCTGTATGCATGCATATATATATATATATATATATATATATATTTATTGTGTATATATATACATATATATATATATATATATATATATATACATACAGTTTGTGCTCACGACTGCCCCGAGGGATGGGCCCTGAATGTCACGGGTCGACAGCCCTCGTGGAAAATGCTGCAGACCTGTCCAATGCTCTCAGCTGTGGATTTGCTCAGGTCTACAGGAAAGTAGTGCTTCAGAGCTCGGCCACGGTCACGCCATTCTGTCGGAGCTCCTGCGGGAGAAATACAGAGGAGGATTGCAGAAGCCTTACAACGAGAAGTAGTGGCTGCATACATCCACCATCGTCATCACACTAGAACACTGACGGTAACGCCAACAAACACAAAAACATCTAGAGATGCTGGCAATGAGCAACCGCAACCGCCCTCCTCCTCCTCCTCCTTCTCCTCCGTCTCCTGCTCCCTGCCTCCCTCGACAACCACTATTACACGATGACGACCACGAAGAATGGTACTAGCAACTGATAGCAAGCTCTAGTACGATGTGGCAGTGCTCCTATAGCACCATGAATACGAGAAACAATCTACATTCATAGCGACGAGAACGAGTAGTGCATTAAAACCTAGCAAAGACAAGCCTCCGTTAAGACCTGAGTTCCGGGCCTCCAGCACACGCTGGCTGTAGCTTTCGTCTGGAAAGCCAAAACGTTCCGGACCCCCAGAGAGGGCCTGAGCTTTGGCTTTTCAAGCTTTCCCGCAAGCCTGGCCTGCCAGGTTCTACCTCGCTTAGATGTTTCTTGACCTGGAGGCGTTCTAAATTGCAAGGCGGTCTACATTCAGCTCGCGTTCCTCGAGACATCAAGCTGTCAGTACTTTCAGACAGACCCCTTGCTCACTTGCTTCGATCACTCTGCTGCATGCGGAGAGGCCGGAATCATGGGGACAAGGCACAGATTTCCTCGTCGTAATACATATGAGTATACGAGTCACTTCATGTACACTACAACTGAACCTATCATGCTGCGCCGCATGATACATGGTTCTACCCTGAACCTCAAATCGAAACTCAGGAAGCCACTGTCTTCAAGTGGATGTTGAACGCCGGCCAGTACTTCTCGTCCGTAGCAGACACTCGCAGGTCAAACATCACGCGCCGCCTGGACCACAAACACGTGACGCTCTCACACAGGAAAGTGGGCTGAAACAGGATCACGTCTTCCAGGCGCTGTTTTCGAGCCCACGAACCTTCGCAAGCTCACGTTCCTGGACCCCCACGACTCTATCCCCGGCAGAACTCTATAGGAACGTGCGCCCCTGCTCGGGCCATGCCTGAAGGCGAGTTGAAAGAGGGCCAGCAACAGCCTCAAGCTGGATGCGATTCCCAGATTTGTCTAGTCTGATACTCTTGAGATATCTGCCTTATGCTATGTTCACACGGCACCTGGAGAACCCACAAACCTGGCCAACTAGCTACTGGTCTAGGTCTTATGATGCTTGGTCTCCGAGCTCGCCCTCCATGCTGAAAGAACATAGCTACAAACAACTATCTCTCTCTCTCTCTCTCTCTCTCTCTCTCTCTCTCCCTGCCGTGCTAACAACAATACGAGCCGGAACTGTTGTCGGAACTGTTGCCAGACTCATAAGGAAGACCGTGATACCGGGACCAGCAGTGAGAAGGCTGATTACTTGGCCCAAAACAGCCCGAGTCGCTTCCCCTGCTCGTCGTGCGGAAGAAAAGCCTGCCTCAGGTTTGAGGCTTGGAGCTTAGCCAGTTCGTCATCGCTGTTGTCAACCTGTGGCATACCCTACTGTGCCTCAGGTCGCACTTATGATGGGGAGGCAACCATTGCAGAGACACAGCTGCAACTAGCACATGCAGTGAGGCAGCACCTTGAGAATTTCAACGGCCTTCATGCGGGTCTTTGAACACGACCAAAGGTTCTTGAACAAGCCGGTTCACAAAGGTCATGGGCAGGCCTGTGCGCCGATACGTCTACGTGTAGCGAGGAGTCTTCTGTCAGCGTAATTGCTTTGTGTCGATCGCTTCAGCCTGAGACATGACCCTGGCGTGCTGATTCAGTGTCCATCCCGATCAGTCTCGCTTGTGAAGATGAACCACAAGCCGAGAAGACATGACAACCTTACCACCTTGTCCACCTTAGTTTCGTGCAGACTCCATTGACTCCATTGCGGGCGAGTTGCTGACTCCGTCCAGCAAATGGCCTAAGCTTGAGCCATGCAAATGCTGCTAAACGACGCACCGACTTCGTAAGGGATGTAGAATCGCCCACCTCCTAGCACGCAGCAGAGAAGCTCACCCTTCGCATCTCTTCCACCAGGGAAGCGGAAGTTCATGACGATCGTGAAGCTGTCCTCAGAGATGGGCAACTACTATTCTGTTTCCAGGTGCAGTCGAAACTGCCAAAACATCGTGCACCTACGTTCCACGTTGCCACCTGTACCTTCGTGGCTGCGTAAGACCTTCAAACCCAAGTCTGATGCACAAGCACTCTTATCTGCAACAACCTCCTCACACACACACACATAGCGCATGGATAGACAACTAGATAGAGAGACAGTGTACACATGTAGCTCGGCAGAGAGGTATACATTCATATACATGCACATATGCATATGTATACTCATATAAACTAAATGTATATATGCATACAACTACCACTAAGCCTTGTTGACGTTGCGCGCAGCTAGTGTTTGCTATTTGGAACTGCTTTGTCCTTTGATGCGAGATCTGAGTTTTCCAAAGTACGATGCCTTGCTATTCGTTGCGTTGTTCCACATATCACTTCTCATTGCCACTCGGGTCAATTATCACCATAGTCATGGTCGTTCTTATGGTTTCTGAACAGCACATCCCCTGGAAACATATAGCATATTCTAACGGGCTTGGGAATCCGATTCTAGCAGTGATCCACTCTAGGAAAATGAATCCCAAACCCAGCTGGGGCTCGGGATGCCCGGCAAGCCGAAGCCGGCTATCGAGCCGCCAGGACATGGAACCCACCCCAGGCCTCGGAATTCACTTTCAAGGCTCTTTTGTCGAGATTTCGCACCAAATTCACGTTTTCCGACTCGGTCCATGGTGGCTTGCGCGTTTCGCTGCCTCTTGTAAAGCTTCCACAGACTGGCCGCTTGCGTCTTGATCCGCAAAATACGGCCCAGCACCCTTTCTTGATATTGCACATGTCAAATGCGTTGGAGATTTTACATTCTGTTTGGTTCCGGTGGTGTGGGCTTCTGTCACGGGGAGAAGCTTTGGGATGCGTTAATCAAACTTGGTGGATATGATGATTTGATCTATGCCGTAATGTCAAAGTTGTTTTATAGTGTGTACAGGATTGGACGCGGGATGGACGAGGGAATGACCCTCATCAGGCTTTATTTAAACTAAGGAGCTGTTGAGTGTTTTCGCCACCTGCGTCAGCATCCTGCATGAGCTTGGGTGGATTTTGCAAACCTTCAAGCTGCCTGCTCCTGGAGGGATGGGCATCAAGCTGAACCGGCCCTCGTTGCCCGTTCCAAGGCAAGGAAGCCTCCGTCTGCCTACTTTCTACTGCCCCACAGTGAAACCGAGTTGGGTCAAGAGTCTGGTTTCCCACGAGGTGACCAAAGCGACGCTTGCAGGTTGGGCATCGCCTGCTCTCCCGGCGGAGGTGCATAAGATGCATTGTAGCGGGAGCAGGAAGATGGTAGTACAATGCTTTGAGCGAGTGTGTCAGAGTACACATTTAATGGGTTTTGGGTGCAAGAGCCGCAGCGCACGACGGGGATTCCTACTGCCAAATCCTCCCTGATCGTAGGCGGCTCACAACTTCTATACCTGGATCTGCTATCGGCCTACAGCGATTTGTTACAGTGCCCCTGAACTGCACAGCCACCGACTCCCAAGCTGTGGCCTGCTTTCTTCAAACCAGCGGTTGAGGCAGGCTTCGTGGAAGGCGTGGCCGCAGAACAGCCTGCAGCTGCTCAGGCTGAACACAGCTGCGGACGTTGCAAGCGCGGACGCGGAGAAGGAGCTCACCGAAATCGCATGCGCGAACGCCGCGCAGGGTCTTGTGACAAGCTTGCGGCAGACTGGGGTGGTCTTTCTGTCAACTGGTCTGTGCAGTCCATGCCATCATATGCAGCCGGGAATCTCAATGACCTGCTGGGAAGCACTCGGCCGCTTTGAATGAGAGAAATCGCCTGCTCCAAATAGAGATTGCCACTTGACACACACACACACACACATTTTGCTCTTCGTAGTCTGGTAGGTAGATGGCGCATGATGACCCGATGCATATGTATGTAGATATAAAAAAACACATATATATATATATACATGCATATACATATATATATATATATACATGTACATATATACAGTGACACACTGATAGACGGATAGGTAGATAGGTACATATGGTAGAAAGATACGTTGGGTCGGTAGATGGATAGAAGGTTATCGATAGGCCGGTCGCTAGGCAACTAGGTACGTAGTTCGGATTTCAGCCTTCTGTATCACCACCAAAAACAGATACTACTGTCGCAAAAACAAAGCAATAGCTCTTGCGGCGAGAAGGGTTCTGAGCCAAGGAACCCAAGCAAATGCGGCAGCCGGACGACTGCCTGGGAGAACATCACTTTGCTTTGGTCCACGGCTATGCTGCCAACTTTGACCCCCACTGCAATGCTTGATGCTTTGTTTGCAAATAGGCGGGCTAAGAGTCAGGGGTTCGAAAGGGTTTATTTAGTCCATGGAAGAGACATGCTTCAAAAGGCGTCCAGGGTATATGAGTACGGAGTTAAGGGCATGTTCTGACTTGGTCTCCCTTCGGATTGACACGGTGTGGTTTGGTACGTTTTTCGGCTCCGCTTTCGGGTGAGGACTAACTTCAGGGACCCAAATCGGGCTACCTCAAGGGTACCATGGACATGCTTACGCGAAAAGCGAGCCGAAAGATCGGAAATCAAAAGTCGACAGATTCAATCATAACCCCACCTGAACACCGTTGCTGGCAGCCTGAAATATCTGACGCCACAATGCACAGATGAACAGCGAAAGTGCACGGTTTAAGGAAGGCTGGCGCCAGGCCACACGAAGTTGTTGCCCTTCACCCGAGATTTCCCTCAAACCGGCCAGGATTTAAGTGCCCTGCTGCGGCAGCTCGGCGGGGTCGATGCGGCGGCCGCAACTTTGAGCCTCCCGGTGATTCGAAACTCAATGGGTGGCTCTTTTCCCAACTCATCTTGAAAGCGTCGCGAACCGTCAGCTCTAAAGTTGCCCTGCTCAGATGCTCAGAAGGCGGTGGACGATTGACGACGGTGTTCACATGGCAGGTTGCAATAGCGCAAACCTCCGGCGCCGTGGAGTGATCCAGGTCGGCAGGCAAACGGAGCTCACCTGGAACGATTGAGCCGTCCCGCATCAAACTCAGGGAACTTCTGAAGGAACAACAACTTGGAGGGCAGCGATACATACATCCAAAGAGACACAAGGCAGAGAATCAGAAACAAAGACAAAAGCATCTGCATATCTTCGAACCTATATCCATACCAACCTCTCTACCCATCTCGGTCTACCTATCCACCAGCCCAGCATTCAGTCCGTCAATCAACCAACCAATCTGTCTATACTATTCTGCTATCTGTCCAGGGTTGCTCTAGCATGCAGTCCGAACATGAGATGCCTCACATGGCAACATCGCCTGGAGCCGCCACTCAAGCAATCATTGTGACTGCGAGTGTCGCTGATTCAGTACGTTTCGAAAGCATTGATAGTCAGTTTCTGCTTCACCTAGAGACGGGTCTCACACTCATAACTCGCAACAAGTATCATTGGTGATGAAAGCTGATGGACTGTGAAGCATGGATCCCCACTGCTGGAACATTTTCTGCCCAATCTCAACGCTTCCGATTGAATGGAAGCCCAACTCCAACAAACAAACTCAGCAACCACGAGAAGAGACTGGCAACTCCCAACTAACCCCGCTCCGTGCTTGCATCCTATGCACGCCGAACCCTATATGTACATCGAAATATGTAGAATTGTTACTTGCCAGTTGTGAATGCCGGCAACTATCCTTGGCTGCGCGGTGCCTTCACGGACGGCCGGCAGGTGCAAACGCACGCGTGTGGTGCCCTTGGGGCTTCGCTCCTCGCCTGCGTCGGAGCATCCGGCCCTAAAGAAGAACTTAGGGGTTTAGGGTCGATAAAAGCGCATCTACAAAATAGTAAAACACAAGCAACCGCGCCAGTTACGATCGACAGAAGAATCCTGAATCTCTAACAAGGCACTGAGAGCAGCGAGGGACACGATGGAAGCCAAGTTCACCTCCACGGGCCCCTCGCCTGTGGTAAACATCGTTTTCTCTGCGTCCAAGCCAACCCCACCATACTGTACTGAGCTTGCTATGCTATCTTCGTGTGGCAGTGTGGCTGTCAGCAAGCAGCCGGCGGATGCGAGGTGATGGTTCCACGAAAACGGCATCGAAGCAGAAAGTGCAAAAACAAATGAGCTCCGTCAAGCGACCGTCGTCCCAGCGCACGACAAGGCTGGCGGCTGATGACTCGACACCACCTCCAAGGGACCTGCGGCACTGAGTCTTTGCTTGTGGGGTGCTTTCGGGTGTTCCACGACGGCCCCGTTTTGGCTCCGCGACTACGTAGCCAATGCCAGCTGGACAACGAGTTTTCCACGTGCGGGCTATGCCCTAAACCCTCATACCCAAAAACCCCCAACTCCTAACCCCCAACCTCCACTCTATACCCCAGGGCCACGGCATTCGAGGCTCCGGGCCTCGGGCACGCGCCAAGCTCCTGGAGTGTTGTCAGCGCCGTGCGCCGCTCCGCATCCACCAAGACCTCCAGACCTGAGAAATCTCTCAAACCGAATTCTTCTTCAACTTTTGCGACGGTCTGTATGGCTTATGTATATAATCTGGCGAGAGTTGCCTTCCAGTCGTCAGCACACGTCACACTCTCCCCACAACACGTTCCTGGGCCACTGGGAGTCCCACAGTCATCCTCGCGGAGGAGCGCAGCTCGCAGCTCCTCCTGGCGAGCCTCTCAGTTCAAAGATCATGCGTACTTGGAACGGAATGCAGTGAGCCAGCGCCTGTGGCTACATGCTGGCTGGTCAAAACAGCAGACGTCTCTCCAGTGACCCTGCCTGCGGATACGGTGTCCATTGCCCGTCGCCTTTACAGGATCCCATTTCGTTGCTTTTCTTTGGAAAAAGTTCCCGTTAGGATTCCTTATCTCGACCTGCCTGTGTTCGTCACACTGAGTGCCGTGACACACGAGTGACTCCAGAGGCTATGTGCCAATCAGCACTTCATGTAACTTCATTTAGCAAATCTTCCATGTTGCAGACGCCGCACAGTACTAGATTTGGGTTCGACTCGTGCTGTCAGTGTTGCGAAGCACTTCGAAGGTGGCGGAACTCCAGAATGCCGAAGTGCCGCCTCAAATGACAATGCCAACGCGAGAAACAAGATTTGGGGTGGTACATAAATATGGCCTCGGTTTTGCTGAAACGACTCATGCGGATAAAACCGAATAGGATCGAAGGGAAGTGAGGTGGGTGCACATCCGTATTGACTTGTTCACACGTACCTGCAAACCGCACGAGTGCATCCGGGCTCACATATGTCTGCACATGCACACAGCCTACACATTCATGCGCATATAAGTGGACGTCGACTTTTGTCGAGCACTTGCTGGCTTCGTGGCTACGGTCTGAATGAGGCAGTGGCTGGCCGAGCTCTGGCTGAATGTAATGATCACGTGGCAGTTCCGTGTGAGCTGATACCGTCGAACTTCTCTTTTTCGAACTCATATGGGGAAAGTATGAACAAGCTTTCCAATACCTCAAGCAATGTATCTCTCAATGCCCCAAACCACGCAAAAAAGGCAGCAGCCTCTACACCACACACATCAAGAACTGGAAAGTAAGCAAAGATGGGTTATAGAATTCCATTTCCCTTTGCAGATCTTAGCACTTCAAAGTCCGGCAGTCAGGATTCTGCTCCCCACTGGGGTCGCCCTCGGTCTCGGTACCGATGGAGCAGCCGCAGCGGCCGGGGCCGCCTGGAATGACAAGCTTGTAGTGTAAGGATTGTGCAAGACTTGTAAGGGTCTGAATCGGCCCGAGCATTGTGCAAGTGATATGATGTGTTGAGCTTTTCCAAAATCCAAGCGAGACGCCGCCGCTTGTACTGCCAGCATCGATGTTGTTTGCGTTGAAGACTTTCCATTCCAGTTGAGAGAAGCGCCAGAAAGCGAGTCTACAAAATGGTTGGTGCAGACCAGAAGAATACGGTGGACGATACGTCCGTCTCCAGCTTTCGCTCTGGCCGCTCTACATAGAGTACTTTAGAATATGCTGCGCATGAACACCTACCTGCACTTTGCAAGATGGAGCTCAATCGGACAGCAGCCACACCTCATAGCCCGTCGCTTCTGACCCCTCGATGTCATAGAGCACAACGGAGAGATTGCGATTCTCCTTGCGAGCACGCTCTACTGCAGCAATGCTTACCACAAACATCGCCCTCAAAACACTCGCCGGCATTGGTCCTACGAGTACAGCAAAGTGTTCCGGGTCGAATTCGAGGCATCTGAAACAAAGCGGACAGTGGTGCAGTTCTCAAACGGAAAGCCGTACCTGCACGTGGAAATATGCTCTGAGAAATGGCCCCATGTCTCCTCGCAGAAGCGCTTCAGCGCTGCCAGGTACCTTGTCAGGGTTCAGAAACTGGCAGGATCGATGTGACGAGTACTCTTCAGTCGCGGCCACCTTTTCAGTCGACCATTCTGTCCTGTGCCATACTAGTCCTTTGTCCCAGCCGCTGTGGCCAGCGTCCACCCGCCAGCCCGCAGCCGATGCGCGTCCTGGGCCATTTTCTCACAATATAGAATTGATTAATCGGCAATCGCCACAGCGAATGAAGTCTTCCAATGAAGCCACGCTGGCCAGAAGTCAGACTGGCGCATCCTGCAACCCATGTACATCCTGAAACATGTACGATACGACTATGAATTGTCGTGTTCCAAAGTTTTTTCAACTGCTGTGCCAGTCCTCGCTACGCAGAGCTGTCCTTCATGTCCCAACCTGGTTGGTAAAGTATGCATAAACCTCTCTGCTGGCGTGGCCTGTCTGCCGCAGGCCCTTCAACCTGAACCTTGGACGTGGCAGCATGCGAAAGATCAGCAGCCTCCAGCCTGAAGCCGAGCATCGGGAGAGCCAGAGAGCAAGACGAAGGCACAGCGCGAGCCAACGAGGCCAAACCTTTGAGCAAACTTTAGCGTGTACGCCTTGTCTGAGACTCAATCCGCACATCATCATCGCAAAGCAACAGAAGTTGTAAGTGTAGGATGTTGTAATTGTAGGTGTCATCATGACCACCAGCACAAACATGAGCTCCTCCTCCCCCTCCTCCTCCTCCTCCTCCTCCTCCTCCTCAACCGTGGTAGCCGCCGTCGCTATTATGCTGCCGTCATCTGCCGTCATTGGCAACATCACCGCACGATTCTCATGAGCATTGCCATCGTTTCTCCCGCATTAACGCAGCAAACACAATTATGATAAATCTGCACAGAGACACCAAGGACACCATGCTCAATTGAAGGTGCAGTGTGCAGCTAGATCAAAAGACACCTGGCCTGACAGTTCAGGCTGATGCCGGCAAGAGGTGCATCCAAAAAGCGCGCACCGCAAACAGGGTGGCTGAAAAATCAACAGTTGCTTATCTTGACGAAGTTGCTCTGACTCATGACAAAAAAGTCTCTGTAGCAATCGTAACCACTGCCCATAAGTTTGCGAGGTGCCAGCTTCAAACCACCGAAATCTGGCGCTGCGGGTGTCCTGCTCGGCTCAGGGTAGTAAGAGTCTAAGATATGAGGATGCCAGCAACGCATTTCCATTTCAGGTGCTTTCTGGTGCGGTCTGCCGGAGACAGTGGCTCACACAGCCAGACCGAGGACGCCGAAAAATGTGCACATTTAAGGCGCGGGAGGTTGATGTGTTGGAGTTAAGACTGGCACACATTCGGGCTGCGTGTATGGGGCGCCAAAGGGCTTGCCGGCCTAGCCATCTCCCATTTCCGCACCCCAAACCGAGCGCCTCTGCCGCCTCGTTAGCACTCACGAAACGTCCCGTGCCTGACATTGCATTGAGGGAAGCTGCAGTGACCAAGTCTGCGATATGAAGGCATGTCTTCGGTATATTTCGGTATTACGTACTGTAATTAAACTCGCTATATCCGGGGCATGTGCTCATCAGCTTGCTCAAACATGCCTGGCCTTGCAAAGTCACTGCAAAGTGCCCCGATAGGCTTCGTGTGTAGCGACCACAACTCACGACGCGATGTCATGTCTCCCCCCCTCTCTCTCTCTCTCTCTCTTTTTGCTCCAGGGACGACGCCTGGCCAACCGCCCGCCGGTGCATCGTCGGCCGGTCGCCCAGGCAACCTTGCAAACCAGTGTAAGCTTCGGTGTCGTCGCATGGCTTGGATTGGCCAGCGGCTTTTGAGGCATCGAAACGGGTGTTTCTGATATCGCTGGAAAGCAAGATGCTACGCACGCATGCCCATTCGTTCGTACATGCACCAAGCGTGGATTCTATAATGTGCTTCGTGCCATCTGTCATGCGAGGGGCAGCTGTCCGTACAAGTTGACGATTCGCTCGTGGACGCTGACCTGTCAACACTTGGGTACCATGTGCTTTTCTGCTGCAGCTGCAGTACTCTGCAATCAACAATGCGCAACGGGCTCCAGCCCCTCTCCCGACGGTTGGACTCATGGGCCCGCCGTCCCAGGGACGTCGTGTGAGCGACCGCTACGGCCACGCTGTCCTCAGCTTCGAAACTCCAGGAAATTCTGCAAAGACTCTTTTCGAGGTCGTGTAGAGTCCGTTCTTGCACCATCTGAGTGTCTTCCAGGAGGAATTCTATGGTTCTTCGAAAGCGCTTCCCTGTAGGCTGGCAGCATCCTCAATTATCCAGCCAGTGGCATTTGTTGAATCTGCGCTGGAAGAATTTCAACGTCTCATAATGCGGACTATCACTCCAATCCGGGCGCCTGCTTCACTGGTGAAGCAGGAATCAGGTTGCTGTTTCAGAAACGTACCAATACCTCAACTCGGCCGCTCAACGCATGCGCCAAACCCACATGCCAATCTCTCAACTCCACAGAACTGAAGCTTTTCCGAGCCGTTCGCTTAGCGACATGATCCGGATAATGATGGCGCAGTCGCAGGGTTTGGGATGCCTTCCCTGGTAATAATCTACACAAAGCAACGTCGATGGTCGCTTCAACAACCTCTATTTTCGTGTAAGCTATCTATGAACTTTTGAACCCCATCCCATAGAATTCCCGTGTCCATTTTAAGATGCACCTCATAGCCCTTACCCAATCCCATAAACCCTAAACTCCATAAGCTCTAAACCCGAGTCGAAGAATCAAAGGCCCCTCTACGTTCGACCCTCGGGACCAAGCCCAGGTCCCGGAGCCATGACCACAGATTCTGACCTCATCGTCATCCTCAACTAATGTAGGCGCCTGGATAATGAGAATACAGTAGGGTTTGGGGGTATAATTTACTATAACTATAATCAGGAACCCTGCAAAAAACAAGCATACTAGGGGTACCTTAGGAACCCCAAACATTGGTATAGGTAATTGTTAAGGCCTCTATAGATCTATAGAATCTAGTTAGGGTTCTGACCTACGCTTTCCTGCCCCTCAGCCCGGTCGTCAAACATCCAAACCCTGACTGGCGCGTTTCGCCGTAGATCTGGGTGTGCTTTGACCCACGCTGCTGTGGCCACTGGTGGGAGTGGACCCGATCTCAAAACGAAGGTTACAACCCTCGACATCCTTAAACAACATGAGCTGAGAAGCATGGCCCTACATTTGCACGCACATCTGTGTGCTAGCCTTCCTCCTTCAAGTCTATGCCACTCTGCATTTGCTGGGGTCTTGGGTCTTGGAAGACTTCCAGTCCAGGGCCATTGCCTGCGCACCGGCCGTGAGGAAGGGCAGAAGCCACCCGCTGATCAGTCTTGTGAAACAGTCTACATGCTCTGACATCCGTTTCATTGCTGCAGCGGTGGGCGCTGATGTTGTAACTATTGCTTGTAGAGTGCCGTAGGATACATTGCTGCTGCATGAAGAGCTTGCTGACACTTCTGGCGCTCTGGCGACTTCTGTCCTCCCGTTGACGGCACGTGAGACGATGCTGAGGCAGCCGGGGCGGTCTCAACTTGGACCATCGGCTGTCAGCAGAAACGGAAACACGAAGAGCTGCTTTTTGCTGCCCTTACGGAATAACGATACTGTTGGCTGACCTGCCTTGACTCTTTGGATTCGCTCGGATCAAGTCATCAGTCATCCTCAAACACTGTGGGGCGGATACGCCGGTAGAAGTTGACCTGCATGCAGAGAGCAGATTTTGTGGGAGCAGCGCTAGGAACAGAAACAAGGATAAAACTTAGTCCCTCCAATCGAACTTGGAAACCACGATTTCCCAAGGCAGAAAAATGCCAGAAGTCCTCGTCGTAGTAACGATATATATATATATATATATACATACCTTAGTTTAAGCTTGAACTGAATGCGCCGCAGCCGAGAGGCCAGGGACGACCCGTCGTCCCCGCCGAAGTAACCCAAGTACCACGGAATGAACTCCGTGAAGTCCACGGAGCCTGCGGTGCTCGAGAAGTTTGGTGCAGTCGGTAAGGTTTATAAGGCTTATCGGGGTTTAGGGAAGGTAGAAAGCTTCATGTTGCAGTGGTTCAGGCTTCAGACTTCTAGGAAGAAGTCCAGCTATTATGGCGCCTTTGCCGTTGTCGTCGAGCTCGCGCCAGAACGACCTTTGCAGGCAAAAGGCTCCTGCTTCTGCAGCATGTGGCACTGGCACACGACCTCTAGACTCTAGACACCGCAAACCCATGCGCCGAACAAAAGACAAGACCAGAAACACTGATCAAGACCTGCCCATTGCAAATAGGTGCTCCTTCTGGACGGCATGTTTATATATGCAGTATGCAAGCATGAGAGTATAGTATAGTACAAGTATGTGAGGCTCTGCAGTGTAATGGAATGCAACGTATATGCAAACTTCACCTTCGCACGCCTGCGTGGCTCTTTGCCTCTGCCTTGCGCGGTGTCCAACGGCTTCGGGACGAGAACGGACCACAGTGGCTTTACCAAGACCACGACTCCTCTTGTAAATCGTCATCCGAAAGTACTGCAAGAAGCATGGGGCACTGTAAGATTGGTAAGACTACCGTAAGGTTCGTACTTCACCCGGCTCTCTGGCAGAGCCGTCGTGTCGCGCAGGTTGAGCAGCAGTGCGATAAGCTGGCAAAACCTCAATGCTTGGGGAGAAAGGCGTCTCTGACTAGGCGGCACGAAGACTTAAGATCAAGAGTCCAGCTGTAGTGCTGAGATACACTTCTGATTTATAAGCTGCGATGAGTTCGTAGGCCGATGTCTGGGCTGGTGGCGGCTTGCATTTCAACCCACAGGTGCACGGTGGATGGGCTTTCGCCGGTACGGAGGACGAGGAAGAAGACACGTGGACACGAACCGGCTGTTCTGCCAATCAGTCCGGGTGTGCTCTGCCTTTTCTATCTGAAAGAATCCTACTCCGACTGTCTTTCGAACTCTTGGAGCAGAGGGACGACCAACCAAATAAGCAAGGCGCTCCCCGAGCAAGGGATGAAACTTGTCCGAAAACCTGGGGACCACCGGACCACCATGCTTGATAACTCAGGCTGCACGCTTCTTATTGCGAGTGCAGTAGCTCTTGGTACTCGAGATGGCCCGGGTTGGCCTGGCAGAAGCTATCAAAGCGCCGCTTCACCTCGCGGGGAGGATTTTGTTGGCAATGTGAAGTATGCCATCGAGGACAAACGGAGGTCGGGGATTCCTAGCAAAAAGGAGCTGCGTATCTCAGAATTCACTGGAAGGCTGTGTGCCGTTGGTGCTTTTTGATGTTCAACACGAAAGCTTCTGCCCTGCAGCGACCGCCTTCTCGACGTCCGGCACAGACACGTAGAACCGTCGAGCCACCAGTCGAATGAATCGTTGCTCCTTAGGTGTGAAGACGCTTCGAACACAACGCTGCCAAACACAAGAAGTCGAAGAGCAGCCACAGGGCATGCCCGGCTGCAGCGGTGTAAATCGAGAAGAGGCATTTGCGCAGGAGCCAAAGGCATGATCACAGGTTCGGGGACAAAGGATCTATATATATATATATATGTTATATATATATATATAATATATATATATATATACCGAAACTATTCCTCAGAGACAACCCTGTGCTAAAGATCATGCACCTACCCACCCCAGGAGACAGAAAGCTTGTCCATCGAAGCATCATCGGTGAGCAGCAAACATTCCTGACAGGGATGTTGCGCAAACTCGCAGCCTGCCGAAACGCCCGACCATCCTCCAGATCTTGTATGCCCATGATCGTGGATGGAGAAGACCCCCGGCATTCACCCTATCCATGCGCCCACTATGTCCGATGTCTGCAAGCGACTTCAAGCTTCGTGATGCTTGGCCGAAGATGCACTGCAAAATTCATCAATCCATGAAAAACCCTTCAAAGGATTTGTGCCTGGAAAGCATTCCGCGTGATCCATGTAAGGAAGTCTTCGAAGGTCACTGAGATCTGTGTCTGCTGAATTTCGATGGCTTCCTCACGCAGTCTCTGTTATCGTGGATTAGGCTCAGGTCTCCTGCACGGCTTACTTTAGCTGAACTAATATGGGGGGCCTGTACAATTAGAATAGGGTTATGGGACCCATTATCCTGTATAACTATTTGCAACTTACAGTACATTACAGTACTAGGAACATCGTGGTCTCTTTGCAGCTCCTTGAAGAGCTCACGCGGCACATCCTTCGCTCGTGGGTAGCGCTCCCGGAGCACTGTGCGCAGTAGTAGCTGGAACTCATACCTTCGAGGACCCGGGGCTGCATACAGGGTCCCCGTTATTGAAGGGATCCTTCAAGGCGTCTATACGGGATCTATATTAGGGTTCGATATTGGGGGCCTAAATTATTACCTATGTCAACCCACCTAGTAATGGGGTGTACCGGTACCGAATTGAACAGGAAAAGGCTGACGACTTTGATATGCAAGCTGAGGGTTTGCATGGTGCGCACGTGATGCGGTATGGGACACGAACTTACAACTGAAGCTGCGGGATGTCTTCCGATCGGAATGCTGGGAACTCCTGTGCTGTAGCATGACGAACGGTACAGACTCTTGCCCAGCCGCGGAGAAAGAAGATCATCATCGTTGGCATCGTAGCGCTTGAACAGCTTCCACGCCTGTACTATCCGATGAGGCACACAGTCATTCTGCAATGCAGTACTGTTGCGAATCAGAAGTCGTGCCCCGGCCACTGTTTCGACTCCCACACAGCCATTGTCCCTGCAAGACCTGATGCTTTGCGTATCTCATAGCACGCCGCTGATGAGCCTGGGTCACATGGCCCCCAGGGAGGTTGTAATCCATTGACATGGAGTGGGCTTTGAACCTTGGTCCGTCTGGAGTCCGGGAATGACCAATCCATGACGTCATGTGACCTTGAAGCTCAGAGCCCCTTTCAGGGCAAGAGATATGCACCGACGCAGCGTTACCCAAAGCCTGACAGCTGTGATGTGCTTCCATTGCAAACACTAAATCTGATCTGCCTTTTAGTTTATTTTTCATTAACCTTTTTCAGCGACATGTACATTAATCTACATCCTAAACTGCAGGCCCCGCCCCTTCTCCTCCTAGCCCCTACTTTCTTCTGCCGCTACTACTACTGCTGCTGCTACAACAACAACACAACAAGAAGAACAATAATAACAACACGAGCAACAAGAACAACCAATACCACAAAGAACACAAACCACCACAAGACCAACAGCAGCAACAACAGCAACAACAGCAGCAACAAAAGCAACAACATCAACATCGGTATCAGCACCCCCATCAACAACTACAACAACCACGACGACGACGACAACCACTACCAACACCAACACCAGCAGTCACAACAACCTCAACGAAAACAACACCGACAACCACGACCGCAACCACGACGATGACAACCACAACAACAACAACAACCTCAACAGCAAGAGCAAGAGCCAGAGCAATAGCAGCAGCAACCCCACCACCACCAACCACCGCCGCCCCCGCCACCACCACCGACAACTACAGCACCAGCACCAGCACGACCAAAAACAGCACCAGCACACCACAAGCAACGCCACTAGCAGCAGCAGCAGCAACAACAGCAACAACGGCAAATGCAGCAACAACAACAATAACTACAACTATAACTACTACTACCACCACCACTACTACCAGTACTAGTGCTGCTGCTTGCACTACTACCACAACTACCACCACTACCACTACCACCTATACCACTACCACTACGACTACTGCTAGTGCTAGTGCTAGTGCTACTGCCACCACCTCTACGACGACGACTACTACCACTACTGCTGCTAAAGCTACTGCTACTGCTACTGCTACTACTACTACTACTACTGCTGCTACTACCGCGACTACTACTTCTGCTACTGCTGCTGCTGCTACTACTACTACTACTAATAATAATAATGATTATAAACTACCACCACCACCGCCACGATTAACACTACTAATCCTGCTGCTGCTGCTACTACTACTACTGCTACTACTACTACTACTACTACTACTACTACCATTACTACTGCTTACTAACTGCTTATATACTGCTAACTTCGACCTATGTAAACTAACTAACAACCTACGTGCTACCTACTAACTACATCTTACAAGGTGGTTGAGCAAAGGAGCGAGTTGAACGCCTCTTTCTCCTTGACAGGAGAGGGTACCTGCCATAAGCGCGAACGTGCACTGAAGAAATCACATGCAAGCTGCCGGAGGAAGTCTCATGACTATGGTTCCGGGAGCCCAAATTCCCAGAGCCGAAGGCCCCGACATCCGATTCGGAAAGCCATGGCCTCTTCTCTGACCTTCTTGCTCATGTCTGGCTCCTAGTCAGTGGGCTCAGGATGGCTCACATCTCAATGCTGGCCTCGAACTTCTCAAGGTCCGCTGATTCATGCATTGCAGCTCAGTCCGACTAGCCGACTCAGACTCATCAACAGTGCCATGCCTGTGTCTTTTCCTCCGGGACCCCTTCTTCTCGCTTGGACTTGTCGCCCCTCGGTTGAATGCTGAATGCCATGAAGCTTCTAGCCTCGAAAAGCACAGTGTGCAGTTCGCCTGCAATACCGGGCCTTGAGGTACCTATGTGCATTCCACGGAGATTCGTCTGCGTCGCATTAGTTTCGAAACTTCTGCACGTGTGCTGACCATGCAAGTGTTTTATTTCCTGCATCTCTTCTGCCGCTTGAACCTGTTTCCTCCTGACCATGCTCTATTTAACCCCTTTGGCTGCTCAGTGGTTGCAAATGCCGTGGTGCAACTCGAACACGGCCTTGAATTCCTGAACGTCACCATCGCTGCAGCCAGAAACATGCGGTCGATGGCAAACCCCTGAATCGGTAGCTGCCGAGGTGCTCAGAAACGACACCGGTCCGTACACGGCGCACTGAAGTAGACATCACCGGATTTGGTCCCCACTCCTCCAGCTGCCTCTGCGAAGGTTTGTTTTCTGCTAGGCTCAACACCAGGTGCGGTTCTGGCTTGACTCGTGATGACCCCCGAACCTGACTGAGGCGTCTGTCTGGCTTGTCCGTTCTCTCTCCTCTTCCCTGACCTATACCAGGAACCCATGCGCAGGCGGCCACTTTCTGACCAACGAACAAAGTCTCCAGAGTCAAGGCTTCAAGCTCTCACACCACTTGCCTGGAGTGAATGGCAGCCGCTGCTATGTTCTTCTCCTGCCAGAGGATGCCAAAAACCGTACATTACTAAAAACACCTTCGGGCCGGAATTCTCACCCAAGGCATCCGATGAGCTTCGTTGCACTTGCCGTAGATCGACCCAGATGTCCACAAACCATCACGAACCGTTGAGCAGGGTCTGCAACTAAGACCTAGCCTCCTGCCGCTTCGTCCGCGTGGTTATCACACGCTTGCGGCAGGACCTGGCCTTACAGGCGAAGGAGGGGTACCCACCGAAACAAGCTAAAAAATGCTCCATGCTGCCGAGAATGCCCAAGCAAAATTCGCAACCATGTTCTGCGAACTTTGAAACGTCGGATACTTGATTCTCACATCAGGCCGGGGACCAGCTCGCAGGCGTTCTTTTGCCTGGCCCGTAAGAGGAAGACCTGCGGCCATGTGCAACTGGGGCTGCCTTGAAAGCAAAAAAGCATCCTACTACTGTTGATGATATAAATCTGCATGACCCATTATAAGGAATATACCATAATTCCCATATATATCCTTGTTATGGGTAATGCAGGATTTATATTTATACCATCAACCGTAGTAGTGCGCGATAAGCAACGAAACCATGCGGTCCACGAGCAAGAACTGGAGCGAATGCTAACCCGCGTGAGCACTGGGCACTGTTGCTGTCGATCTGACTAGCATTTCAGTTGCTGTCGGCGCCAAAGCTGGCTGTTGTACCAGTTCCGGCGAAATCACTCCTGAGTACAGGGAAGACGTGGTCTCCTTCGCCTAACTTCGGGCGGAACAGCGAATGCTCCCGCAGCCCAAACACGGTTCGTCTGCTCCTTTGCGCGCATCTCTAAGCACCCTCCCTGCAATCGCAGGAGGTGGACCAGTTGAACGCGACCAGCTCGTTAAACTGCGCCGAATCAGTATAACTGATGCAGCAGGTTGAAGTTCCTGTTTTCTCTGACCTGACGCGCTGTGCCTTGCAAGATTGACGTACTTCGCGTGAGGCGGTGTGGGCAGCTTCAATCGAATGAGGAACCCCCCCCCGTATTGTCGCGCAAATCTCAAAGAAGTGCTCATGAGCCCGGCCTTGTGGTGCAGCCTTCCTGCCAGCATGGCTAATCCTGTGCCATGTGCGGTTCTATGGCAGTCTCTTGAGGCACTTTCAAAACAGGTTGTGTTGCTACCAGTGAGCTTTGCAACATACCTAAATGGACTTCCTGGTAGTGCGCTGCATCATATCGTCAGATCGTGAAAGCCAGTCTTCTCGCCAACAATGTTTACAACACGATGTCCACGAACGTGTCTTGCTTAACTTAGCCGCAACAAATCAGAGTCCACCAACTCAACATGGAAAGGCAGTAAACCAGTAGCATTAGCGCGAGCGTGCATGCTGAGAGTGTGTGGACAGAATACATCCAGCGTATGACATTTTGCAACCAAGGTGCTGGAAGCAACTTTTTTTGAGGTGTTCTTCTTGACCACACCTCCGACCAACAAATTTGATTGTTCAAGCTTGGCGTTGCGATTGCAGCAATGATTTCGCTTGCTGCAGGCCGAAAGAGGTCTTGAGAGTTTCGCTTTTGTACTAGATCCGTGGGCCTTGCACACGATTTAACTTTGGGCCTCGAAAATGGTGCACTTGAATATGCTACCTGCAACCACTCATGTCGCCAATGCTGTGTGCGGAAGCACCGAGCACTATGCTTCTTCCGTGCGGTCACTGCAATTGGCCGAGGTGGCGACTATGTGTATGAAGCACATCCATCAGCGACTCCATGGACGACCGCTGCGACGTCCTGGGCCATTCGCTTTGACACAAGCATTAGGCTTCACCTTTGCTGCTTGCCGCCATTCCTGTCTCGCATGGTAATAGCATGACGAACGCTGGCAACAACCAGGAGTAAGTAGGTAGTACGCGGTAGTAACAATAGTAGGTAGTGGTAGTAGCGGATGCAAGAAATCAACAACTGCTACGATGGCAACGACCAACGTACCAACGAATTGACTATGACCGCGAAGAGCACTACCAAGCCCCCTTCGTGAGCCTTTTGATTTCGGTCATTTGGACGTCTGTCGTTCGACGTCTCCTGCCTCTACTGCCACCACGACTTACTAATTACTCCTCTTCCTCCTCCTCTCGCTGCTGCGGTGGCTGCTCCTAGCACTAATGTACCACTGCTACGGCAAAACACGACCACCATGACAGCGACTGCTACTCAGACGTACTCGATGACGGCCAGATGCGGACAGTATAGAGCGACGACTGATTACGGTGTCATGTCAAAGCAGGCGTCGTGGCTGACAGCAACCTGTACGACGATGTTGTGAAAGTAGTTGAAGACTAGGAGCAGTACTCGTAATGGATGCAGCAATCGTGCGTACAAGAAATGGTCTAAGACCTGGGGAAAGAATGCCGCAGAATCGTCCGCGTCGTCGTCGTCGCCATGGTCGGCGAGGTACAGGACACTCATTTAGCAACTGAATTGAACACTGATGGCGGCCCAGGCTCACAGACAGCATGCTGCCGAATGCCCGCCTGTAGTACTCGCTGGGGTGTTGAGAGCTTCATAGGGTTTTGCAGACATAGTTAAGTAGTTTTGGGCAATCCTTCAAGCAATGCGAAGTCGCCCCGCGCAACCACAGAATTTGTCACTGCATTTCGTGAAGCATTGACCTCGGAGCCACTCCTTCCATACAGACTCTTACCGTGGCCAATTGCTTCGAGTTCATACTTCCCGACCGTGCTGAGACATGCAGAGGTTTGGGTGTCTTCAGATTCGACATGGCGCACAGAAGTACAGGCTTTCAAGTTAATGCTGCGCCGCAATGATGGCAGTGACAGATGCTACAGCTTGACCAACATTGGTAGCCGGGGAAAGTAGGACGGCGGTGCACCTCCCAGGAACCGGCAAGGACCTCAAGGATCTTGCAAGCGCTGAGCTCGATCTGTAAAGCTATCCATGCAGATTTCTTTGCAAAGAAGCCAGAATCAGGTCATGATCTGAGGTCCAGGCGTCGGGCTGCCTGGCAAAGACTTCTCCACTAAACCGTGCTAATTCGGTTTGAGGCGCAGTTAGCTACGCAGTTCTTAAACTAGGGGTACACAATATACTCAACGTAACCTTCCTTGAACCAGCGACTCTGTCGAGAATCTCGGGGCATAGTCTGCTCTAGATTCCGGCGAGCCCTGAAAGATTACCCTGCAAGGTCGGTGCCTGGGCCTGGATCCGCCATCCGGGGCTTCGCAATGGCCTGAGTGAAGCTGGCAGTCTTGGGATAGTGTGCCTAACGAAAGCTGCCAAGGCCTCTTGCCTCAGTACATTGAGGTCAGGACGGGTGTTGATGTGTTGGGCGATGTGCGTGGGCGGTTGTGTGGAGCCTGGTTGCAAGGCGACTGGGATGCTGACTGGAAAGGGCGGTTCTGGTACATCGAAAGCAGACGGTGGGCCTGCGGCCAGACCGTGTGCGCTGGATGTCCCGTTGTTGCGGGGCCTTGTCAGAGCACACCGATGATCCGCGAAGCAGGATGGAGTATGAACCAGAAAATGAACCGTATTAAGCATGCAGGCATCGTGTGGTACGGGGTTAGGAGCAGTTGGACAGGCTTTGCTCTGCCTTGGAGACAGTGAGCCGCCCTGCAAGCATTAGGTCTCAGATTTGCAGCGCAACGCAAAGATAGTGCTCGCAGCTGGCGGGAAGCCAGGTCCCGAAGCCTTGAAGCCCCGAAGCCCTAAAGCATAAACTCCTTGTTGAAGGATGCATCAACATCCTTCCTCCTCAGATGGCCGAGATTCGGCTTCCACTCCACCATGGAGAGCTTGGAAGCTTTGGAGTGGCCGTCGAAGGCCTCGGTTTTTGTGTGACTGATTCGGCAGTATCCAAGCCTCGGCTGACTTCTGAGCCCTTCCTAAAAGTTAAACTTTTAGCTTACTTAGTATAGGTCATATAGAAACCCAAAAAGTTAAAGTCCTAAGAGCCAACCAAGAAGCTTGCAAACAAGTCCATGCGAGCTAAAGTGATTCGAGAGCCGAGCAACTGAGCCACCGTTCATACCAGCTCAGCACGGCTGGTATCCCTTTCCCCGGTGGTTCGACATTGACGTGCAGTGTTGGTTTCGCCCCAGCAACACAAGAGCTCTTGGCTAGCCGCGAGCCACCATGGAGATCGCTCGGGGGATTGTGCGAGCACTTGATGCTAGTTTGCACTCCTCTTCAGAACGACTCAAGCAACAATCCTCCACATTGCCCCACCCGCCGCTTTGGAAGTGACGAGACTAGCCTCTGCTGCCCACACACAACTTCATGTGCCAGTATCCCTCGACTGGATAGCCCAGATCGCGTGCCGAAGCACCCTGCAGACGTCGAGCGGGAAGATGTCGCTCGCGTCGACGGCTCCTTGTTTAAAGCGGTTATCCAAACACCCGACTTGCGAATAAGGACGAGGCACAAGCTTGGTTTCGCAGCGGACGCACGAACAAGCACCATACATCCAGTGGTCCATTCATCTGGCCGAAGTAGGAAGACAGGTGTGCGGCAGCACAGCACAATGCAACTCGTCATGTAGCTACTTGGAACAAAGGGGCAGCTTGTAGACAGCAAAAGATCTTATTCCCCCTTTCACAATGCAGGGATGAAGCGTGCAGACATACTTGGCAGCTGGGTTTCGTAGGGACGCCTTCTTGATTGGATCGAAGGAAGCCGGGGGTCATGTAACAAGTCTGTAGCATCACCGAATCACAGCAGCAACAGAATCTG